GGTGGGAACATAAGAATTTAGCTAAGGTTAGAATGATTGACCCCACCTGAAAAGATAAGTAGTTTAGAAAAAAGCTCAGCAATTGCACTGCATGCATCAACATTCGAATTCTTGAAAGAAATCTAGGTAGGTAGGTGGAGATACAGAGAGGTTGATTACTGAAGTCTTTGTTCATCGAATCTACAGCGAACAAATGCAGCAGGAATGACTCATCACTCACATACCGGAAATATGGAAAAATACTACTACTACCAATCATCAAATCAAGAGGTGACAAATAATGATGGAATTACATAAACAAAGTCAGAAAGTTGTGTGAGTAGTGCCTTGATATGATTATGAGTGGCAATATATTGTGCTCGAAATGTGGTTATTAGTAAATAGTACTTATAGTATAACAATAAAATAAATTTTCTACATAATGAAATAATAGAGAAGATTTGTGGCTCAGGTGGATGATTTGCAATTAATAGTATTCTCTGAGCTGGTTGGTTTAGTTGCGAAGCTTTCGTCATCCTTCTGGACAACATCTTCAGCGCAATATTCAGCATAAAGTGAAATGATTTAAATTTCTTCATGAGTGATATAATTGCGTCTCCTGGTTACTATCTTTACATAGGTATTGACCATTTTCTATTGACTTGGATTTTAAACTTTCTGGTCACCCGATTTACTTTTTATCTGTTGGTATATTTCGTCTATATTAACGTGTTTGTTAATTGCATTTTCGTTTGAGTACCAGGCTTCTAGGAATTCTATGACTGCACTTTTGGTGTTTCCTCTGTCTAAATATGTCGACATTATCCCAATCAAATTGATGACCATAATTGTCTACATGCATTGATATTAAAGAATACATATCGTGTCTTTTCACGGCTGATTTGTGTTCGTGGATTCTAATTCGATGTAATGTCTGCTACAGTTCATGCAATTTATTTTGTAAATGGTATTAATTTTATCCCCTTTTTCTGTTGGATCTTCCTGTTTGCATAATATCCAATTAAGCGATTTGACTGGCTTGTGTGCTATATCTATGTCAAACGGTTTCAGTATTCTGGCTGTTATTTCAGAGATATTTCTCATTTATGAATCCTACAGTAAAAGGGGATAAAATTAATACCATTTACAAAATAAATTGTATGAACTGCAACAAGCATTACATTGGCCAAAATGGGCGTCCCCTTCGAATCAGAATCCAAGAACACAAATCAGCCGTGAAAAGACACAATATATATATTTTTCAAATCAATGCATATAGACAATTATGGTCATCAATTTGATTGGGATAATGTCGACATATTTAGACAGAGGAAACACCAAAATTGCAGTCATAGAATTCCTAGAAGCCTGGTACTCAAACGAAAATGCAATTAACAAACACGTTAATATAGACGAAATATACCAACAGATAAAAAGTAAATCGGGTGACCAGAAAGTTTAAAATCCAAGTCAATAGAAAATGGTCAATACGTATGTAAATATGGTTACCAGGAGACGCAATTATATCACTCATGAAGAAATTTAAATCATTTCACTTTATGCTGAATATTGCGCTGAAGATGTTGTCCAGAAGGATGACGAAAGCTTCGCAACTAAACCAACCAGCTCAGAGAACACTATTAGTTGTAAATAATGAAATAATCTATGTTGACAATTCAGTCACGTTCAGATCGTAACGTTTATGTATGTTTGTGTGTGCGTGCATGTGTTTATTAAATGTTATAAAACTATACGTAGGAAACAGGTAAAATTAATAAAGCATAAATTATATATGCATAACATCAGTCAACTTACACTCCATTATATAATCAGTAGGCCAACATCGAAACAGTGTGTCCATATGTGGACTGTTAATAACAGTGATTAAATCCTGTGGAGTCATACGGGTTAGTTTATTTATAACAGCTTCAACAGTTTTTAAACTTTCTCTACGATCACTGACATCGGCTTCATCATCACCGTCACCGTCATTCAGAGACTTGGAACAAACTCTATGAAAAAACAACAGGATGAAACAGATTTATAGTTAGGCATATAGAAATAACTATAGTCATATATGCTCCGAAATGATAGAGAAGATTTGTAGCTCAGGTGGATAATTTGCAATTAATAGTGTTCTCTGAACTGGTTGGTTTAGTTGCGGAGCTTTCGTCGTTCCCACTCTGGACAACATCCCGCTTCAGAGCAATTTTTAGCATAAAGTGAATTTAATTTTCCATGAGTGATAGAATTGCGTCTCCGGGTAACCATCTTTACACCTGTATTGATCATTTTCTATTGAGTTGGATTTTAAACTTTCAACGTCACATGATCTACTTTTTATTAGTTGGATATATTTGGTCTGGACATATATATATATTCATCAACTGCACCGTCAGTTCAATGGTGCAATGCTCGCGAACCAAGTGCAAGGTTCGACCTCCTTGACCGGCGCATCCACTAACCTCGTCTAGCCTGTGATAAGTCAGGCAAAGGATGGGGGCGGGCGGGCAGGCGATAGCCTAGCACCCCCACCTCGTGAAAACAACCCAACCACCACTATCACTACTATAACTAAAACTTCAAATCATGAAACCCTATGTCAATGGACGTGAACATTGAACGTTTGTTTATTGGAACTGGTAGCCATTGGTGGGCAACTCGAAGGCGCGAATGGTTCGATCGTGTGCAAGCTCGAAGACGACAGAAGAATACGAATAAAAGTACTTTATAATTTTATTTGTACTAAACATTTGTTTGTAGACTTGTAATTGTCTTTACTTTAATTGCCAAACAATATAACTTCCTTCTTACAACCACTGGTGTTTTGGAGTTGAAGTCGAGACAAGTACATCGTAATTATCGGTTCCGAGCGTCTTCGTTACAATAGGAACTTCGGCTAAGTTCCTTGACATTCTAGGTCCCCACCTCACACTTGCAACAAAAAGGAATACACGGAAAACCTCATCAATCACTTGGATTTTAAAAGTTTTTGTATCTCTCAATGAATGAATGAACGTTAAATACTAAGGATACATAACTATAGTAGTCGGTGAAGCGGAAGTAATCGAAAGTGAATATTCCTTGTTCATTGAATTCAATCTTTTAATAGTTTTATTGGCAATTTTTTTAGTTAACTGATACCCCTTAAACTCAAATTCCCAGTTTGACTGACTGACTGACTGTTTTCAACACAGAAGTTTGCACAGATGTGAAGCGGTTCAAGTTGCCACACACCTCACTTAGCTAGCAGACAAAGCAAGAGAAGGAAGTAAAAAGAAATGCAAAACAGACACAGTAAAGAGATATGAGGCAAAAAGAATAGTAATATCGAAGAACAATATAGCTTTATTGGATGATATAAGTCACAACGAGTGGATGCATCTGCGCCAGCCATTGAGAACGAGGATCTTGAGCCATATCACCAATTGTCTCCAGCCTTCATTGGTGTTTACCATCCCGAGGATCCCAACCAGGAAGTCTAAACCATTCTATGTGACTTTAACTGTTGTGGATTTTATTGACCAAGGAAGCCATGTTTTGGCTTGACCACCACTGGCTGTTTTCCAACCTATGTCAAGTAACACCCCCCTTGTCGAGGAAGGCGATCGGTGGTTAGGCATGCATGCATAACACATGTCCTAACCACCTCAATCGGTGTGACTTCTCAAGCTTATCCATTGGTTTCCCCTAACTCTCGACCAATCCTTAACCTCAATATTGCTCACCCTATTATACCATCTCACACGGGAGATAGAACACACCTATGATCAAAGACAGCTATTCAGCTTTTTCATGTCCTCCACTCTCAATGGCCAGGTTTTACAGGGACGGAGCGGACTGCTAAGCAGTACACAGGTCAGCCGGATATCACGTCTACGCCAGAGACGGCGTAGTAAATTGGCATACATACCCACATCACCTTCATCGTCTTACTTTCCTACTACAGTCGGTAGTACTATTCTTCAGACTAGTGAGTCATCTTCACTTCACTCTGTGACCAAAAACAACGATGAGAGCCATAGAAACAGCCCCCCACACAGCCTCTTGAATTCCCAGTATACAAATTGAACACTATCCGAGATGAAATATCATCATATTTCTTCATTAGTAATTGAAATTACTCAAACGACTAAAAAAACTGTCACCAGGTGTTTAATAATAATAATAATAATAGCTTTATTCCAAACAGTATTTGTGGTACAGGTATGGAATTTTCAGCGTGCATTACAATATTGCATCTAATTACCTCATAAATTTTATAAGATTTTAAAAATAAAAAGCAACAACAACAAAAAGAAAAAAAGAGAAATAAAAGAAATAAAAAAGAACAGCATTGCATTCACATATTTAAACAATGCACCACAGGATATGAAATATAAAATTAGTGTGTAATAGAATATGTGAGCATCAATATAATAGTAACAAAGAAAAGAGAACATAAGTTAATGGGAACTATTTGTTAGAGTGCCGCAGTAGGTTGATCGTGTCATACCTAACGGATTTCTCATCACATAACAGCTGTGCCAGATAAGGTATTGTGGAGTTTCCTACTTGGTAGTCCTGGCATATAGCCTCCTATAGTTGCTTCTAGTTCTACCAGATGAAATGCAAGGAAAGAGCTGCGTATAGAAAGGATGCTCGTGGTCTGACAACATAGTATTCGCTATTTTCTTACATGATATTATATGTCTATCCACAATGGTGTTAACCAGTTGGTTTAACGAAATCCCACTTCCCCTACTAACAGCTTTTAGTGCCCTTCTCAGCAAAGCAAAATCTTTCTTAAGTAGTCCAGGAAAGATTAATGGGGAGCAGTAAAGAGGGATGGTTAGAATACAAGGGTTGACAAACTGAGAAAGCAAAGACTGCTTTATACCAGACTACCTTAACTTCCTAACGTAGAACGTTAAGCGAAACATCTTTCTAGTCACTAGCAAGATGTGAGAGGACCAGGAAAGATCGGAGGAAATACCCAGTCCAAGGTACTTGACATTAGACGTAGTTTCGACCTCTATGCCGTCAATGATAGTGGGACCATGTGAGTGGGATCCCTGCATCATTGTTCTGGCTAGCAAACACTACTGGTGATTGATGTGAGTTGTGGTATCCAACTACTCATATCTAATAATCACCCAATCAATCAATTAATCAATCAATCAATCAGTTGATAGTATGCAGTGTCAAACATTGGAACTTACCGTATAATATGTGAAATTGACTTCAATGCATAATATTTGCTTTTATCCGATTCTGGTAATGACAATAAAACACGTTTGACAAGATGCTCAGCTCCAAGATTAGCAAGATTATATAGGAGAATTAATTTCCCTATAGAAAGAAAAAAAAAGGGAAAATGTTTAGCTGCATTGATTTTTCTCGTGCTAAACAGAGTGGTACTCAATTTTACCTGCATTCCTCAGTGAGTGAGTGACTGAGTGATGATGTTCTCACCGAGGCTCGAAGCCATTATCCACATAGTCTAAAACGCCAAAGCGTGATCCACTAGACCCCGTAGGTTACGAGAGCCACCGGCTTCTTTTCTTGTTCAACAGGTTTTATTAATTATTTAATTCACTTTACATCCAGTTGATGAGTCCCAAATAGGACGAAACGCGCATCCTGGATTCCATCAAGATGAAGTCAGTGCTACTGTATGGATAAGAGACTTGGCGCGTCATGAAAAGCACTTCGAACAAACTACAGACCTTCATCAACAGCTATCTTCGCTCAGTACTCAAGATCAGATGGCTGGCCAGAAAAGATCAGAAACAGGGATCTCTGGCAATGAGCGAACCAACCCAAAAGAAACGGACTGTGCAACAAATATGCAGGAGGAAATGGAGGTGGATTGGCTGGCCATACTCTGAGAAAACAAATCATCAAGTGACATCACACGACAGGTCATCACTCGAGCAGAACCTCAGTGGGAAGTGACGAAATAGTCGTCAGTGCGAGGGTGACATGGAGGAGGCGGTGATGCGTGTGGGCAGATGTGGAACCAGGTGAAAACGTTGGCAGATGATCGAATGCAATGGAGACGCACGGCTGAAGCCCTATGTTCCTCTAGGAACTGAAGGATACAACAATAATAATAACGATAAACAAACAATCAAGTCTCCAGAATTTCGCAGAAGCCATCTCTCCATAAGAAAAGATTCAAATCTGACTTATGAATTCAGAAAGAAACTTTAATAACTCTCTATCTTGGTTCCTCAAATTTTAACCTTGACTGATTATATGACCTTATGGATGGAAATGCTGATTGCTATTCACACTTAGTTATTTAGTTCACCATTTAATAAACGTCATGATTCATGTGTCTGATTTCTCAACAAATGAGCTTAACTCTTAATTTTCTAACGACTTACGTAATCTTATAATTTATGCACCTAAAATATGTCTTATTTCTACCCTTACTCCTTATTCTTTTGTCTTATTTGCGAAACTTTGATCACAGCCTACTTTAAAGGTTTCGATTTATCTGAATACCATGATCAATCCTAAACGTTGTTCAACACTTTACCTCCAATAATCTAAAGCATGTTAAAACTATAGGAGAACTTTCTTCCTTCATTCCCATACTTTCCTCTGGAACAGAGAGCTTCAACCTTCAGTGAAACACGTGTTTCTCAACAGAGTGAGGATCCTAACTTCATGTCCAACCTTCCCTTGTTTCCAGCCTAGCTTTACTACTGGGCTAGATGAGGATTAGGAGTCCATCGGTTAGGAATTGAACCTGGACGGGGACTCCTGAACGACCGATGCGACAGAACTATTAAATTTTACTATTAAGGTTGTATGCAGCTGACGAAAATCATTATTTTTTTTATTCCTTCAAGTTCCCAGTGGAACGTACGGTTTCAAGCCAGAGACTTGAAAGTTCGATAGCAGTGGTGTTTACTTTTAAGGGATGGGGTTGTTAGCCAGCTTCATGCCCAGCACTTCCTCTTTACTAGTCTTAATACCGGCTTCGCGAGGCGAAGGACCGAACCCCGGACCACATAAGTGGTTGGTCAGCATTCCACTGCAATGACACTGTCAAACATGCACACGTAGTCTGGAGATCGATTCCCAGTCGGAGCACACTTTTACCTTCCCTTGCCGGTTGTAAGCCCAGAAAAAGAGAGGAGGTTGGGCGTGAGACCATAAGATAAACAACACTGATACTGAAATTTCAAGGTTCAGGCTTGAAGCTGTATGTTCCACAAGATATCGACGAAAGAGATAATGGATCCGTTGCTTTATCCTACACCATGTCCCACCTTTTTGAATGACTATTAGGATACTGGCCCGAGTGGTCTAGTGGATAAAGCTTTGGCGTTTGAAACTATGCGCATTGGGTTCGAGCCTCGGTGGAAACATCATTACTCACTGGGAAATGCAGGTACATCCAGCAGATGACGAGTCCCAAATAGGACGAAATGCGAAGCCTGGATTCCACTGCTAGTCACCATACATCAATTAAATACTGAAGACAGTTGTTAGAAAAGTATACTCCATTGTATTTCGACTAGGATTTTAATCAGTAACACAGTGGATCAACGTCAGAAGTAATATCACTTCCATATATTTGCCAGCTGTTTCTTTTCAATTTCGGACTCTTTGAATGGGCATTCCTCAATACTTATAAGTACAGTAGTGTGCACTGGATATCTGCATTGACCCTGTCTCTCTCTCCTGTGCTGTCTTTCAAAAAACCGCTCCAATCCATAAAAAAAGAGTGAAGAGAACTCCACATTGATAAGCTGTCAATATAAAACAGTAAAGTTACCCTATTGACAGAATAAAAGGAATTCTGTGCATAAAAGCCTTATCAACACCACAATATATTTGCTGATTTCGTTGAATTAAAATTACAGCATTTGATTGAGTTCAATGATTTTCCTAAACCATGTAAGAACAGTAAGAGGAATACTAATTGTTTGTCATTTTCCAGCCCACCAGTCAGTATTGCTCAACCGAAGGACAAGATGCTTAACTGTGCCACTTCTATGTGTATCTACAGATTGAGCTGTTTCTGAGGGGAAAGATATATAGGGGGAAGAACTAGACAGATCAACAACCTCATTATTAAGCATCTTCGCTCATGGTTTGTAAAAGGTCATATAAAATCTATGAGAAGTTCTATTTTTGTCTCATTTGATTGATGATGGCGGCCATCAAGTGGACAAAAGAAGAAGAAGAAGAACAAGTGCCTTCAAAGTTATCTATCGCATTCCATCGAACCTTTTGAATAGAATTCAAACCCATCTGTTAAACACATAACCGAAGTTATGGGAATTCTAGAAGAGAATCCTAGTGCCTTTGCATATAAAACAAGTTTGTTCAACTTTTGTCTCTCCCTTGCTCACCTAGGTAAATTCTAATCAAAACCCGCCCACCCTTTCTTATTTTCTATTTCCTTCGTACTTTTATGAAATTTATTATTTAAACTCTGATTATCTGTCTGTCCACTTCACCAGCCTTTAGTATTACGTAAATTTTGAGATTTGACCTGATTTGTTTATTCATTGAATTGTCTACATATACATATATCACTCACTACCTTCGTTATTCTTATCGCCTCATCTACATAGACCTTATTATCACTATTTTGTTATCGTTATAATCATCGTTGCTACTGACGTTCAAAACATCTAACACTTACTCCTATCCTATTATCTGATCGACAAACTCATCGTCATTAGTTAAATTTTGTTTTATATATAAATCTATGTAAATTAGAGTAAAGCCTGAAGAAGGTCTAATTGAAAACAACAATACTGTTCGCTTATATTGTCTTGTTCTAATATTAATAATGGGAATATATAAAGATTTAAAATACTAAGGATGTTTAAGGTCTCAATGATTTCTTTGGTTGGAGCTGACATCAGTTAGAAAACCATTAGAAAACCTGCAGGGAGTACTGGACAGCTTGAAAAATTTATCTGGCCGTATTCAGGCAGTGACCTGGGTTTCTAGTGGGAAGCCGTGACCAGTAGGGTGCAGCAGGTTGAAGGTGAGGCAGTGACTCATCGTAGAAGACATTGCGAAGTGGTCGCGCTATGCCATGAATTGGCAATTGGGTCGAGTCCCAGTGGCTGCTTAATGGTCTACGAGCTCATCTTGTAACCAGAAGGTTCCTGGGTTCAAACCCAGTTGCTGGGTGCGTACTGATGAAGGGTCCCTAACCAGGACGAAACAACTGTCCAGTACTCCCGGCAGGTTTTCCAGTGGTTCTCTAACTGATGTCAGCTCATGATGAAATCCTCCAACCAATCATATTAAATCCCTACAAAAAGAAATCAATGATTTCTAACTTTCAGCTACACACACTGAGAAAATAAAGCTGTAGAATAAGAACAAAGTATAGCTCTTTGAAGACAGAACAGTCTAGAACTACTGTCTGTGTTCAATCAACTGACCATTATACCTTCTTCAAGATTAAAACATTTTTTCGAGCCACATAAATAGTACAAGTGTGGTGAGAGCTGGCTGCTAGCCAAAGTTGGTAGACAGTAATTGACGTCAATGTTTATATCCCAAATGTTGGTGATGAGAAAAAGTGACAACATAGGCTTTGCGAAGGCGGATACAGTTAGCATATGGATGATCTAACACAGCCACAAAGAGATGCAAGGTTAACTTTCTGTGAGAAACAACCAATCAAAAGACTGTATTTTCTACTAACAATAATCTACAATAGTGTACATTAAAATCTATATATATGTGTTGATTTTCATTAATAAACGATCTGTTGTCTGGCCCTTGTCTTCTGTTATTACACAAGTAATTATGAAATTATAGCGACGATATGATCAAGGATTAAACTTACGTTGCGTATCCCATGATCGAGTAATTGACATCAAAATGGACTCTTGAGTTTCTCGATCATTTTGATGACTATTTATTAAATAAGGTGAAAGAAATAGTATAAGAACAACAGAAGTGTGCTTACTGAATAACTATAGTACTAAGTACTAAAACACAGAATAAAACAACAGATAGAAATAGAATTTGAAACTTTTCAAAAAGGAACCAAATCGTTGTTCTTGCTATTGTTGGAAAATGTTTTCCTGGAATAAGTTCTTTATTATTATTTTTTTAATTTTGATTATAGCTTGAAACCACACAGTATTTTTGGTGCAAGTATGGAATTTCCAGCATGTGATATCGGTAGCCCAAATTTTGCAGGCCGACCATAGATATCAGGTGTGCGTCGGCAGGAGATCGAACCCTGGACCATGTGCATGATCGGCGAGAGTCCTAACCGCTGTGCTACCGACGCACAGTTATTGACTACTATTCTAGAATATTCTATGCATATAAACATATGTATATATAATTGTAGAGCGAGAAGAGGAAGTTATCGAAAAGGATATTCTTTGCTCAATTATTTTGTTTTTTATAGAAGTCTTTGTAATATCTCAGATTCACTCAATCCCCACTGGACTTCTCATGTTAGTTTTCTTTATACCATACATTTCGGCTCACTAAAGTTAGTTTGAATTCTCTTTCCCTCCCCCACCTACCTTTGTGTGCTACGTGTAATGTGGAGGCTGAAACTACCGAGCTTATATGAAAAGTTCTACACTGAAACCCAGTCAGTAGGTGAGTTATATAACCCCCTTTTTTATCCGAAAAAGATTTCAAATCAATAAGGCTACAAGACAAAATTGTTGTACGACGACTGATGAAACTATCCAGTCAGTCCGCTAGATCGCATACAGTAAATAGAGTGTCGGATATTTACAACTCTTAACATCAGCCAATTAGCATAACGTAACACCGATGACAACTGGCTACCTGGAACAATGTGATACACCGAATACCCACCGCTCTACCAATAAAAATGAGAGAGGACTACCATAGAAGAGAGTATTAAGTGGCGTCGAAAGATGAGTATCTGTTAAATATATTGAATGTATACATTTCCAGATGACAGTAGTGGTAAGCAGAATTCAACTATGACGACTAGAAAACATAGTGTCGGTGACACAGCGGTTAGGATGCTCGCCGACCATGCATATGGTCCGGGGTTCGATCCCTGCCCACCGACGCACTCCTTTACCTCGCTAAGCCAGTATTAAAACTGGTTAAAGAGGAAAGGTTGGGCATGAGGCTAGCAACCCCATCCTGTGAAATAAACACTGCTACAGAAACTTCAAGCCTCTAGCTTGAAGCCCTATGTCCCACTGGGAACGTGAATGAAGAAAAATATTTTTTTAAACTAGAAAACATAAAGATTAATTCATAGAAAAACACAAACTTACTTGACAAGAGATTGAGCAAACTCAGGTATTGATTCTTTCGGTGACAATTTCTAGAATGATAACAAGACAGTACATGTAGGATAGTTATGTTTTACGAAAATCAACATAAAGTTTAATAAAAAAACCCGGTAGATAATCCTACTACCACCAGGTAGCATGTGAGAACAAGTACTCGCCCCCGATGACATTGGCTAGCGGTTACGTCATGTCGTGAATTGGCAGAAGTTGGAATTCATGAGTTGGTCACTGGATCAAGTCCTAGTGGCTTAATTGTCTACTAGCTCCCTCCCTGGCCCTGTGAACAGAAGATCTTGAGTTCAAACCGGCCGAAACAGCTGTCCGGTACTCCCGGGTTTTCCAATGGTTCTCTAACCGATTTCAACTCATGAAGAAATCCTGTCAAATATTTTAATATGAATTTATGATTCATCATATTCGTAATATGACATGGCACTACATCGATCAAGAAAGTGTAGATGCACTTACTGCTTAACCTTTTTCCAAATCCAAAACGTGCATACAAAAAGACCCGAGTGTGGTTATTCACTGAACTCCACCTGGCTAACAAGATGAATCTGCAAAATTCACGTTAAGGGTGTCAGGACTCGCAGTCGTAGGGCAGAGCAATCACTTCTTGACTGGATCCCACTAGTAGATAGTTGTATGTGTGCGGTTTGTCTGAACGCGGGTCCGTTAGAAGAAGGGAGGACAGCGTTACCCATCCGTCAGTGAAAATATTTTCACTGATTTATTGTCCAATTTAAATATACTACTTGCAAAATTCAGTATCATACAATACCTCTGATCCACATTTGTATGCAGAGATTTGAACGGAAGCTTTTTTTAATGGGTTGCCTGGTAATCAAACAACCCCTCGCCACACACCCACACATGATACATATTCCCACTTAATATTAGATTAGGTAAACTTAATGGGTGCATAAAACGCAGGTTAGAAAAAGAAATATGTAGCTACCAAATAGGGAATCAGTTATGACAAAAACCAATACAAGAGTCGGTAATTGATTACAATCAGTGAAAACATCGTTGAATTGACTTAAGCAATCGACTTTCACAGTTAAAATGAGTCAAAACGTCCGACACGTGCTCTACCTACTTCCACTTGGACAACTACTGGGTAGTATCACTCATCTTCACATAATAATTGCGGCTCATATCTTAGAAAATGAGTTCAAGTAACATGAAGAATTAACACTATTCTACTTATTGACTGACTGATTGGTTTCAACATAGAACTTTGCACCCATGTGCATAAGTTCGAGTCGCCACACTTCACTTAACTAGCACACAAAGTCAGAGAAGAAAACAAAAAGAAATACAAAACAGAGACCGTGAACAGAGATATGAGACAAAAAGAATAGTAAAATCGAAGAACTCTATAGTTTTATTGGATAATACAAATCACAAGGAGTAGATACATCCACGTTATCCATTGAAAACGACGATTTTGAGACATATCACTAATTGTCTCCAGCCGTCATTGGTTTTTACCGTCCACAGGATCCCAACCAGGACAAGGGCAAAGCCGGACAAAGCGCAAACTTTCCACACGCATCTCTGAACATTATGCTGCATGGTTAGCAAAACGACAATACAACACAGTTACTAGCTGAATTCTCGAGCACTTGGTGAGCTCCAGCTACACAGTTCCACCAGAGTTGTCTTTCAAGATCATCTACAAGGTGAGACCGAATGCCCCAAAGGGCGTTAGGTTTCAGTATTTTTGTATGACGGAGGCGTTGAGGCAGCGGTCCAGTACTCCAGTGCTGGTTTTAAATGGTACTCTAACTGATATCAATCCGCGATCACCTCGTAGAAATAATAAAAACCAACCAATTTTATGGAATTTTAGAATTATTTGTAATGTTTATAGAATAACATGGTCCATGAAGCTAAATGGAAAGTATATGTGGGAGTTTTATAAGCGTCTGCCTCTAATACTATACTAAAACAGATAAATCAGGCATACATTGAGGAGGCCGTCGAATGGCATCGCGAGTAATGCAGGCCATCACTCAAGTGGAATCCAAATGGGAAGCGACGAGTTGGTTGTCGGTGCGAGGGTGACATGGAGGAGGTAGTGTGAGGAAGAGATGAGACAGTTAAGACAATGGTGGAACCAGTTGAAGAGGACAGTAGAAAACAGAAGAAAGTGGAGATGTGTTGTTGAAGCTCTATGTTCCACTCGGAACCCAAAGGAAAAATAATAATAATAATAATAACAGTTTATGAGTTCTCAATGTAGTGTCTTTTGAGTTAAGTCAGTAATGTAAGTACACAAAACAAGGAAAACTGGCTAATACTCACCATATAGTCTTGATTTCTTTCCATTGTTATATCAGTTTCTAAAACAGAAAAAAAATGATTGAGAATGAATAGAATGATAAACATATAGAGACTAGAGAGAGAGAGAGTATACCTGAAAGAGTCGAAGAAATGGGCAAAATCAAAACAAGGTGATGAAGGTGGGTGATGGTCAGTGGCCCAAACCATGGAAGGTGATTTCGTCTTAGGATACCATATCTGAAACACAAGGAGTATTAGTGTTACATGACCACAGATCCAAGAGACTACCTACTTGACAGAGGCTTATGCACAGACTGTTTGAAGTGGGGTTTTAGAGTTGTATCAGAATGGAGATCTTAGCATCGGGCTACAAAACCACTACTGGGTAAATCAGGAAGTACACTTGTCTTCTAAATCCACTTCACCAGAGCGGAGTGGTAGCACAGCTTGCATATGGATCGTTGAGGGAATCATCTTAGTGCTAAATTACACTTCTGTTTGTTAGCAGGACAACGTCATCCTTAGAATTCCAAAAGGTGGTGACTTCTTCTAGTCCAGCCGCTATTCAAACGATCCTCCTGACATGGTAAGATCTACAGGAACACTGATCCCAAACAATTGTAACAGAAGACAAAGAAAGATTTGGTAAAGGACTAGAATAACGTTAAAATATTAGACAGAAGAAACACCAAGAATGCCAGAGAATTTTTAGAAGCCTGCCTAGTATTCCAGTGAATCGTCAATCAATAGACACATCGAGGTAGACAAAATTTACCAATCGATAAGATGGAAATCTCACACACAAAGGGTTAAAGTTCAAGTCAAGGAGAGATGACTAATAAACTAACTCGTGGAGAAATCTGAAAACTGACTTCAACAAATTCAAGTATGCGCTGGAGATGTCACCTGGTGGTGAGGCAACGAAAGCCTTCAAAAGAACAATCCAGCTCAGAGAACACAACTACATAAAGGAATGTTTATTCGGAATTTGGTATCTCTATAAAGATAAATTTTCTAGAGCCTTATTTTCAAATCACCATTTGCACAGATATCCTGTGTTGTACTATTTCTGCCCTTCATATGGCGTTTGTGCATTCCTTTCACCTCTCCCATGATTCCTCGTAACACTGTATTATACGCTTTCTCTGACGTGAAATCTATCTCCCTGCTAGTTGATGTTAATATACCGATAAACATTTCTTCATGTATATATACTACTTGCAAATCTTATCAGTAGTACACGTCACAGTAGCTCGCTGGATCAGTGAAGTATGCAAGCCCAACCATCACATTAAGGTGGTAGCATAAATGATGGAGCAAATGACGAGTGTGACCAGTTGATTGAGACAAAAAAACCTTCAAATTTGGTATTACTCAGCCAATTCAAATGCAAACGCGTCGGTGAATCGATAGGTGTGTGTCTCTTAGTCACACAGGAGGCCTAGGTTCGATTCCCAATTGAAGGACTAGTTGGTAGCAAGGTCGAAAAGGGGGTATGGCTGGATGTGATTGATATGCACAGTTGTAAACCCCTCATATCGACCAGTAGTATTTGCTAGCCGAACAGCAGTGACCTACCAGCGATATTGACGAGGTTACTTTCCATATACTCATGGTGAATTAGAAATGGACTCACACAAAAAAATTGGAGGATCTGGACTTCGCCGACGAAATACGTCTGATTTCCAACAAACTGGAAGATATGCAAGCGAAAAGCAACAAGTTGGAACAAGAAGCATCAAAGAAAGGACTTCAGGTGAACATAGAGAAAACAGAGGTGATGAAGATTCCTGAGCAAAACCGCCAACAGCAACAACAACAACAGACAACAATCAGCATAAATGGAAGGAACCTGAAAGAAACAACCTCTTTGACCTACCTACCTGGGAAGCATCGTTTCAGCTACAGGCGGATGGAACTGACGAGGATATCAAAGCAAGAATCGGAAAAGCAAGACAAGCTTTCACTACTCACAAGTCTGTGTGGAAGTCAACAGCACTCATCATCAAAAATAACATCCGGATTTTCAACTCCAATGTGAAGTCACTGCTACTCAATAAACGGATCAGAGACTTGGCCAGCGCGTCATAAAGAGCATCTCAAACAAACTACAGACCTTCATTAACAGTTGTCTTCGCTCAATACCACTCAAGATCAGATGGCCGGCTAGAAAAGATCAGCAATACTGTGAGATCTGTGGGAGCGAACCAACCCAGCATTAACCGATTGTGAAACAAATAGGCAGGAAAAAATGGAGATGCATTGGCTGGCCATACTCTGAGAAAATAAACCATCAAGTGACATCACTAGACAAGCCTTTGAGTGGAACCCGAAAGGGAAGCGGCGAGTTGGTCGTCAGTGCGAAGGTGGGGTGACTTGGAGGAGGTCATGTGAAGAGGAGATGAAAACGTGTGGGCAGACATGGAGCCAGATGAAGATTCTAGCAGAGAACCGAACGCAATGGAGACGCGTGGCTGAAGCCCTATGTTCCTCTAGGAATTAAAGGAAACAACAATAATAGTAATAATAGCGAATTAGTACATACGATTTTGTTACATCGTTTGGTTTCTTGACTGTCATTTACTGTAGATGAATTATTTTGTAATCGGAATAATTTTCGATTCTCAAAAAGACGTCCATCCATGATGAATTCTGAAACTCCAGCCCTCCCCACTCCTTCCTGGTTTTGCTATCGGACAGTAAACTAGACGAAGTTTAAGGTTATTCAATGGTATAATGTGATTTTGATGATGTTGTTCCCTATGAGCTGGATGGTTTATATGCGAAGCTTTCATTACCCTACTAGGCAACATCTTCAGCACAGATTTTAATTTGTGAAGTGAACTTTTCTCCGCGAGTCTATTAGTCATCTCTTCTGGTGAATTTGAACGCCGTGCCTAGTTGTTTTTGTGTGTTTTCACACCCTCTAGACTAATTGTATCGGTACTGAATGTTACCTTGACCTGAAGTTTTATCCTTTGTGTGTGTGTGTGAGAGATTTCCTTCTTATCGATTGGTAAATACTGCCTATGTCAATGTGTCTATTGACTGACGATTCAGTGGAATACCGGGCTTCCACAAATTCTCTGGAATCCTTGGTATTTCCTCTACCCAATATCTGCACGTTGTCTCAGTCAAATTGATGTCCATAGTTGTCTGTATGCAGTGATATGAGCGAGAGAGTGGGTAACATATCTCTTCACGGCTCCTTTGTGTTCATGAATGCGGAGGCGAAGTGGACGTCCACTTTGGCCAATGTAGTGTTTTTCTACATCATTGCAATTCATTTTGTAGATGATGCTGGTTTTACCTTCTTTAGCTGTTGAATCTTTTAGTTAACAGAGCCAGCTGAGTGAAGTGATTTTGTTGGTTTGTGCGCTATATAAATTCCTAAAGGTTTGAAGAGTCTTTCAGTGATTTTTGAGATATCCTTCATATATGGTAGGGCGATTTTCTTTGTGTTTTCATTTGGGGCCTTTAACTCGGTTGGTTGACTTGGGGGTATATGTCTTTTCATTAAGTTTCGTGGCTATCAATTCTTTCGGAATACATCCATGATATATCTTTCTTCAATTTTCCTTAATATGGGAGTGCTGTAATGAGTCCTGACCCTCTTGAATAGAATTTGTATATAACTTCTTTTGTGTGTAATTGGATTGTTGCTGTTGTAATTCAGTATTTGGTCCATGTAAGTTGAATTTCATTAAACTTGAGTTTCTAATTTCCCTGTGGCTGTTCGCTTGACTAAGACGTCTAAAAATGGGATTTTCTTCTCGGATTCCTCTTATCTTGTGAATTTGATGTCACTGAAAACGTTGTTAATTAAGTTGTGAGTTTTCTCCAACTCGTTAACTAACCAAGCGAGAGTTTCGGATTCGATTCTCAGGCGACTCATTCAGAAACCTCGTCGTCTCCTGGTCTAAGAGCAGATAGTAAGGCTGAGAAGAAAGAGGGCGTAGTATAAAGATAGCAAACCTACTCCCTGGCAAAAATAAAAACAACTCCAATACTAGCTACTATCAACAGGGATATCAAAACCAGGATCATCGAGAAAGCAAGGCAAACCTTCATTACTCTCAAGTCTGTGTGGAGATAGACCAACAGCACTACTCAGAATGAAAAATAAGATCCGGATTTTCAACTCCAGTGTGAAGTCAGTGCTACCCACTATACGGATCAGAGACTTAGCTTAGCGCCGCGTCAAGAAGGCCACTTCGAACAAACTACAGACCTTCATCAACAGCTATCTTCGCTCAAAACTCAAGATCAGATGGCTGGCCAGGAAAGATCAGCAACAGGGATCTCTGGCAATGAACGAACCATCCCAGCAGGAACCAATTGTGCAAGAAATATGCAGGAAGAAATGGAGGTGGATTGGCTTGGCCATACTCTGAGAAAACAAACCATCAAGTGACATCACCCGCAGTGCAGGCCATCACTCGAGTGGAACCTGAATAGGAAGTGGCGAGTTGGTCGTCAGTGCGAGGGTGACATGGAGGAGTAGGCCATGTGAAGAGGAGGAGAAGGCATGTAGGCAGACGTGGAGCCAGATGAAAAGGCTGGCAGAAAACCGAACGCAATGGACACGTGCGGCTGAAGTCTTATGTTCCTCTAGGAACTAACAGAGAAAAAAAATAATAATAACACTAAACAAACAATCAACTAAATGACTATACTACAGTAGTCTATGCTCCACTTACTTAGCCTAATACTCAATGGTTCAAGATGGAAGTATTTCATACCAGCTATTGATAACCAATCCATCGTTTGGCCCCTATATGAGAAAGTTTTCAACAAAAAAAAATACAGAAAAGAAAAGCAATAATGACAAATTACAATCAATGGGGGGAGAAAAAAATGGTGAGGTTATGATTTGTGATTTAAGGCAAAAATGAAAGTTCAGACAGTGAGAAGATTTACTCAGTTACGTAACATTAATTCATTCACAGAAAACACAGCAAAGTGTGAAACATGATGCAGATAGGTACAGTGAAATGATGATCCGGTTGGTTAAGAGTTGAGATCTTAGCTGGTAGAATGCCAAAATAAATTTTAATGTACATTTCATTAGAAACCGATATCAGTTAAAGAGAATCATTGCTGGGAAGCACAGAAGTACTGAGCCACTGATTCTTCATAGTTTGGGTCTCTTCATCTGTGCGCTGCCATGACACCACCAGCAAGCTTCAGAATATGAAGCGAGCCCACTGACCATTCCAGCCACTGGGATGGAGTCATCCAACGGCCTATGCATTTTAACTCCTCCCCCGATATGAGATCCATAATATTCATCTAACAGAAGGTAGCTTTATCTAAGAGCTGGGCAGTATGATGCAACACACTTATTTGTCTGTTTTCAACATAGAACTTTGCACACATGTGCGGTAGTTCAAGTCGCCACACTCCCTTCTTGTAGCACACAAAGCAAGAGAAGAAAGTAGGAGAAATGCATATTAGAGACAGTGAACAGAGGTGTGAGACAAAAGAATAGTAATAACGAAGAACAAAATACACTTATTTAATAATATGAGTGATAATTTTCAAGTATTGGTTTTGTAGGGATTTTGTTTGATTGCATGGAGGAGTTCATCATGAACTGACATCAGTTAGAGAACCACTGGAAAACCTGTTTCGTCCTAGCTGCGGACTCTTCATCGGAACGCACCCACCGGGATTCGAACCCAGGACCTTGGTCTACGAGCTCGCCTTGTAACCAGAAGGTCCTGGGTTCGAATCCCGTTGGGTGTGTACCGATGAAGAGTCCCGAATTAGGATGAAACAGATGTCCAGTACTCCCAGGTTTTCCAGTGGTTCACTAACTGATGCCAGCTCATAATGAAATCCTCCATGCAATATGAGTGATACTTATAATACTACTGAGCTAACCTATTGTTCAACAAAGTGAAGATGGATCAGTCACATGCCAAGGAGACCGTCAAATGACATCGCGCTTTAGGCCATCGATCGAGTGAAACAGGAATGGGAAACGACGAGTTGGGCGTTGGTCCGAGAATGGCATGAAACAGATGAAAGCGGTAGACAATCGTGGCGGCGGGGGGAGGTAAATGCAGAGAATTACAGAGAAATGAATGTTAAATGGAGATGTCCTGTTGAAGCCTCACAATCTACTAAGAAACCAAGGGAATAACGATAATAAAAATATTGAATGCCGTTTGCGAAAATCTTAAGTGGTGGAGGCGATGAATTCAGTTACAAAGAGGAGAAATGAAGACAAAGGAAGCAGAAACCGAATACTCCATACAAACAAGAGTTTTAATAATAAGTGGCTAAATTTCACCCTTCCGATAAGAAGACTCTAAAAGATCTGGATTTCGCACGTGGATGATTAATGTTTGATGTCACACAAACTCAAAGACCTGCGCAGGCGGAAACCAACAAACTAAATGAAGAGGCTGGCAGTGAAGATGGGAATCCAGGTGAACATAGAGAAAACGGAAGCGATGAAGATAACCAACCAACAGCAGCATGAACACACAGTACCAATCACCATCAATGGGAGAAATTTGATAAAGGAGGTCCCATCCTCCAGTTATCTGGCTAGGGAGCATAGTTTCAACCACAGACGCATATGACACGGATAAAGCTGTCAAAGAGTTGGCCAGAATCGGAAAGGCAAGAGATACGCCTTCATCAATCTGAAACCAATTTGGAAATCTTCGACTATCCACCTCAGCATAGACAACAAGATTCCGATTTTCAGCACAGATGTCAACTCACTCAGTTAGTGCTTCTAAATGGGTCAGAAACTTGGCCAGTAAGTCACGGAAAGGATTTCCAACAAGTTAAAGACTCGTCAACAGCTGACTTCGCTGGCTCCGTACTATAGATCAACTTGCTGGTTGGCCAGCCAGAAAGAATTAGCAACAAGAAACTTCGCAGTGGAACAAACCAACCAGGAACCTATTGCTCAACAAGTATGTAGGAGAAAATGGAGATGGATAGGGCACACACTGAGGAGGCCATCGGATGACATGACGCGCTATACTGGCCATTGCTCGAGTGGAATCCTAATGGGAAGTGACGAGTGGGTTGTCGGTGTGACGGTGACATGGAGGAGGTCGTGAGCTGGAGGAGGAGATGAGAGATCATAGGCAGTCATGGGACCAGCTGATGAAGAGGATAGCAGAAAATAGAACAAGGTGACGATGTGTTTTTGAATCCCCAGGTTCTACTAGAAACCCAAGGGTATAATAATATTAATAATTGACCCTTAATGTAGTTTCTCCAAACAGACGATGTGTCTATCAGATACCTCTAATTTTTCCACTACACTACTAGTAAGTAAAGATACAACTCATTAGCTTAAGCTATCAACTTTAGGTCAACAAATGTCGATTTCGAATCCCGTCCCACCCCTACATCCACTGTAACTAGGACAACTGGGTATTTTTTATACAATAACTAAATGTGGATGAGTCGATGGCACAGCGGTAGGATGCTCGCCAATCCCATATGTGGTCCGAGATTCGATTCCCGGCCACGGGCACACTCCCAAACCTTGCTAAACCAGTAACTAGACTGGTAAAGAGTGAAGGTTGGGCATGAAGCTGGCTAGCAACCCTATCCCGTTAAAATAAACACCACTGCTACCGAAATTTCAAGCCTCTAGCTTGAAGGTGCCCTATGTTCCACTGGGAACGTAAAGGAATAAAAATTTAAAAAAATAAAAAATCATGCAACACAAGTGTGACTTACTCATAGTGTCGTTGTAGTGCTTGATATGAATAGCACAATCTGTATTTCATTAAAGGTTGAGCATATTTACACAATACTGTCAACAGTTTGTTTTCATTACTGTCAGCTGCTACATGAAGTAGTCGATTGATATCTGTAGCCATTAAAACAAAACAAAAAAATAAATAGGAGAGAGAATATTTGAAACAAAGTGACAAATAATCACACTGAAAAACAATAAGAGGTATTATTATATTCTCTTTACCTATCTGTGTAGTGTGTGTCGTAGAGAGATGTAGATTGATAGGAAGTGGTCAATAATTGAAATCAGCACTTTAAATCAATGGCCGACTACTGCAGAGGGATTTATTTAGTTTACGTTGTAGTCATGACAACGTTTTGCCTCATTTATTTAACCTTGAACCAATTGTAAACCAATCAGAACGATTTATTGTCCATTAACTTAGCCAACTTTCAATGTGATTGAAAATGTATAAATATGATGCGTTAACCAATCAAATCCCTACAAACCAACACTTTAATATCAATGAGATGCTCACTAGTGACTTGCCCTATTCAGGTAGGTAGTTCCAGTGAGAAGTCGTGACCAGTAGGGTGCAGCAGTTTGGGCATGAGGACAAATACTCGCCGAAGACATTGGCTAGGGGTCACGCTATGTCGTGAATTGGCAGAAGTTAGAATTCATGGACCATTGGATCGGGTCCCAGTGGCTTAATGGTATACGAGCTCGCCTTGTAACCAGAAGGTCCTGGGTTCGAATCCCAGTGGGTGCGTACTACTGAAGAGTCCCAAAACTAGGACGAAACAGCTGTCCAGTACTCCCAGGTTTTCCAATGGTTCTCTAACTAGTGTCAGCTCATGATGAAAATCCTACAAACCAACACTTGAATATGATGCGTTTTCTTTCTTCATAATTATAGTCCGCTGCCAATTCCCTTATCTTCCACTGATACATCAGTCTGTACTAACTAATCATAAACAAGAGTTAACTAAAATAACGTCGATTATCAGGAACTTCCCGCCTAACCGACAGTAAAGAAAGTATATAATCTCTTTATATGACTCAAATCAAAAGTCACAAGCATCATGGATCACTCCTGACCCTTCCCATATCACACTCTATAACGAAAGTGCTGCACCATACAATTCGAAAAGTAACACAATGCATAAACTTCATGGGTTGATGACAGCTTTGTATTTGATCACCTTTAACCGTTTTCCAACCTAATTCAGCTAAAATTATTCGAAAAGAAAGGCGGTTGCTCAGTTTGTGCAACACATCTGCCAGCCATCTCAAGAGATACATTTTTTCACAACTCCATTATCAGTTGTCTTTCCCGTTATAACGAAAAACACTATATGCCTAACTGTAATACTGCTCACTATAATTACACGAATCCCGATCGATGGCTGCTACCTTGACGTTGTGGTCGGGCTTGCCCATCGCAATGACCCAACAAGCTACACACTAGCTGGAACTATTGTTTCTGCAGGTCCTACCATGCCAGGAAGGTTGTTTGGATAACGGCTAGACAAAAAGCAGCTACCCAATCCAATACTATGATTCAAACAAATTCACAGAATATCATGCCGGATCAGTCAGGGTCCGGATTAACAACGACCGCGCTTCCTGCTGCCGTGTCACAGGGCAGAAGTGATAAATATGCTACTGAGACACACCAAACAAGAAAGAACAAACAAAAGCAGGCCGCGTGTGACCGGCCTCAAGCAGTTGTCCCCTGGGCTCTGTGGTCACGCAACACTGTTTCTGTTTCAGGTTCCCGAAGAATCAATCAACTTCCACGTTGTGGGCAGTCGGGGAGTAAAAACCGCCCACACATTCCCAAAAGCACACGAAGCCTTCCTGAGCATCACTCTCCCTTACTCACATCACCTTCCTCATCTTGCTTCTCTACTACAGTTAGCACTATTCTGCAGGCTAGTGAGTCATCTTCACTTCTGGAGTGTGGCGACTTGAACTGCCGCACATATGTGCAAAGTTCTACGTCGAAAACAGACAGACAGACAGAATTACACGAATTAACACGGGAGATAGAAAGCGAAAATCTGTGATCAAAAACACAACTAGACTCTTCATACCTTCCAGGGTTTGAATGCGCACGTCCTACAGCCATACAGAAGGACGGAGTGAGATGATGAGCAACGGTATAAAAGTCTCTACTGACCGATAACTAGACTCTACGCCTACGCCAAATATAAAACTAAATGATAAATGGCACACGGACCTTTTGTAGCTGAGCTGACATTTCGTGAGCATTAGGGCTGATACGACAACATCTCACAATGTAAGTGTAATTTTCAAAACACCTAGTCACTTCAATTCCTATTTCTAGACATGAAGTATCGGCTTACAGTTTACAAGGACAAGCTACAAGCCAAAAATATTAGCATTTGTGTTTAAAGTGTCCAGAAGACTTTATTATGTGACTCCTTTCCCACCCTAACACGGCTAGTTATTGTTGTTGTTGTTAACGTACGATGATGCTACAGGAATGGACGACATTGACTCTAGCTTAAAGATAGTCAGGAGTGACGTGGTAGAGCGTGTTGACCACTTCACTTCCCAGAACAGATAAAGAAGGCCCGTTTGGCGTATGCCTGTCAACTTACGCCGCCTCTGGCCTACACGTGATATCCTGCTGGTTGTCAACCAAAGAGGATGTGGGTATACTGCTTAGCAGCAGTTCACTCCGTCCTCCTTTGTGGCTGTGAGTGAGACATGGCCATTGAAAGTGGTAAATACGAAAAGGCTGTCTTTGATAATAGGTGACTGCATCCCACCTATCGTGTTAGGTGGTATGTGCAATAAAGTGAGTAATATTGAGGTTAGACCTCAGTCGACTGCTAGGTAAGCAGGGGGAACATCAATCGACGAGGTGGTGAAGTTATACAGACTGAGTGAGATGGTTAAGACATATGTTACGGATGCATAACTAACCATCAATCGCCTTCCTCGACGACAGGTAATGTTCGCTGACTGACAGAGGATTGATCAGGTTGGTAAAAAAGAGCTAACAGTGGTGGTTAGACCAAAGCATGACTATATCAGTCAATGAAATCCACAACAGTTAGTTGGGAGGTCAAGACTTCCTGGTTGGGGTCCTCAAGGTGATAAAAACTAATAAAGGCTGGAGACAATTTCTAATATATGGCTCAAAATCCTAGTTCTCAATGGCTGGCGCAGATGGATTCACTCTTTGCGATTTATAATATCCAATAGAATTCCATTGTTATTCCATATAACTATTCTTTTTCAGTGTGGCACAGTGGTAGAATGCTCACCACGTGGCTTGGGGTTCGATTCCCGGCCGATGGATGCACTCCACAAAAATAAACACCAATGCTACCTAAACTTCAAGTCTCCAGCTTGAAGGCCTAAAAAGGTAAAGAAATAAAATCTCTAACAAAAACAATATTACACTCTTCTCTTGCTTTGTGTAGTATAAGGAAGGAGTGTGGCAGGTGTGAACTGTTGTACATCTGTGCAAAGTTCTACGTTGAAACCAGAGAGTCAGTCAGTCAGACAGTCAATGGCACGATATGTGGTAGCACGTATCCTAACATCTCAGAGAGAGAAAGAGAGATGAGATATGATAGAGAAGAAAGAAAGATATCTCATGGACGTCTTCCAAAAGAATGGATATCCAAGGAATTTCATCAAAAGACATATACCCTCAAGCCAACCTATCAAACCGAAATCCCCCAAGGAAAGCACAAAGAAAATCGCCTTACCATATATAAAGGACATCTCAGAAATCACTACAAGACTCTTCAAACCTTTAGGAATTGACGTCGTACACAAACAAAAAAGTCACTTCACTCAATTCTATGTCAACCAAAAGACTCAACAGCGAAAGAAGATAAAACCAAAATCATTATCTCCAAAATAAATTGTAACAACTGCGAAAACACTACATTGGCCAAAGTGGACGTCCCCTTCGTCTTCGTATCCACGATCACAAGCTATTTTTTTTGATTGCACACTAGTCAGTAACTAGTGTAATGTGTCTAGTCCTATCTTCGGTGCAGACTGAATTCGATCAGTCATGTTTGCAATGTGGCCACCATGCTAGGTGGCTCGCCATTACGGTGCATTGTAAATTGTTGGTATTAGGTGGTTGGAGGCAATCGGCAGGAAGCCTTGGACCTAGGTTTCGTGCTAGTTGGCACTCATCAGCAAGGCTTCCTGCCGATTGCCTCCAACCATCTAATACGATCATAAGCTAGCCGTCAAAAGACATGATATCCACTCCCTCATATCACTACATACAGACAACCACGGACATCAATTCGACTGAGACAACCAACGTTCAAATATTAAACAGAGGAAACAACAAGAATGCTAGAGAATTTTTAGAAGCTTGGCATTCCAGTGAATCATCAATCAATAGACACATCGAGATAGACAAAATTTATCAACCGATAAGAAAGTAACCTCACACACAAAGGGTCAAAGTTCAAGTCAAAGGAACAATGAGTGATGATACAAATAACCTAGACGGTGTGAAAACACAGAAAAATAATCAATCACGTCCAAGGTCACCAGGAGAGATGATTAATAAACTCGCGGAGAAATCTAAAAGCTCACTTCAAATTGAAGTATGCGCTGAAGATGTCGCCTAGTTGTGGGGCGATGAAAGCTTCGCAAATTAACTATCCAGCTCAGAGAACACAACCACATAAAAAAGAGAGATGAGAATATTTCAATCAAAGAAAGAAAAAAAAACAGGGAAAAAGGAACAGAATCATTCACACTCACTTACCAGGTAAACTTTGTTGCATGAGTACAGAATAAACAACAAATGGTGCCAAGATGTCTAGAGTTTTTTCATCTAAGCTGAAAGAAGCAAAGAAACACGTTGTACAAGACATAGTTGAATTCACAAAAGAAGAAACAGAAAAAAGAGTTAGAGATTGAAGAAAGTACTAAAACTGAACTGTAGAAGGCAGTCAATGAAATTGTTCTCGAGGTTACAGTTTGGCATTTTTCACAAACTGTTATAACCCTTAGCCTCAAACTAGACTGTAATATATTAATATATATATATATAGTAGCCTAGTAAAGGAATTATTTATTTTTTATGATGATATTGATTTAGTTATTCTAAAGTATTTGCTAGGTAGCTTGTTGTTTACAAATCTCGTTGTTCCGAGTAAAGGTTGAATACAGTTCTCGTTTACCATTATTATTATTGTTTCCTTTAATTCCTAGAGGAACATAGGGCTTCAGCCGCGCGTCTCCATTGCGTTCGATTCTCTGCTAGAGTCTTCACCTGGCTCCAAGTCTGCCCACACGTTTCCATCTCCTCTTCACACGACGTCCTCCAAGTCACCCTTGCACTGATGACCAACTCGCCGCTTCCCTCTCGGGTTCCACTCGAGCGATGGCTTCCCTAGTGATGTCACTCGATGGATTGTTTCCTCAGAGTATGGCCAGCCAATCCATCTCCATTTCTTCCTGCCTATTTGTTTCACAATCGGTTCCTGTTGGTTTGGTTCGCTCATTGCCAGAGATCTCCGTTGTTGATCTTTTCTGCGGCCATCTGATCTTGAGTATTGAGCGAAGACAGCTGTTGATGAAGGTCTGTAGTTTGTTTGAGATGCTCTTTATGACGCGCCAAGTCTCTGATTCGTATAGTAGCACTGACTTCACATTGCAGTTGAAAATCCGGATCTTATATTCATTTTCATGCTGAGTGCTGCTGACCTCCACACAGACTTGGAAAGCAATAATATTCACAACACAATACTTGATCTGCTTGATACCAAAAATGGCGATCAAGAAAGCTTATCGACTTAGCTAAGACAGCCCCAGTTAGCAAACTCCTAGTACATGGAATTAAATTGGTAATTTTCAAACGATACAATTCAAGGTGAGAATTGATCGGTTTTTTCTTCTTATTATTATTCCATTGCGTTCCGAGCGGAACATAGGGCTTCAACAACACATTTACACTTTGTTTTCTTTTCCGCTATTCTCTTCAGCTGAGTTCACGATTGACCAAACTCTCTCATCTCCTCCTGCAACTCACACGATTTCCTCCATATCACCCTCGTACCGACGACGACCAACTCGTCACTTCCCATTAGGATTCCACTAGAGGGCCTGGCATGCGATTTCATTCGGCGGCCTTCACAAGTTATGACCGATCTATCTCCACACTCTCCTAGATATTTGTTGAGCGATCGCCTCTTGGTTGGTTTGTTCTACTAAAGAGTTTCACGTTACTTATTCTTTCTGCCTGCAATTAGATCTTCAGTGTGGAACCAGCTAGCGAAGGAGGCAACTGTTGATAAAAGTCTGCAACAGGCTGTTGGAAATCCTTTTCGTGACACACTGGTCAAGTTTCCAACCCGTATAGAAATTTTGACCGACTTCACATTAGTGTTGAAAGTGCGAATCTTCTTCCTTATGTTGAGTCCAGAAGATTTTCAAACTGGTTTCAGGTTGAGGAGAGCGTGTCTTGCCTTTCCGATTCTGACTTTGACATCTTCGTCCATTCCTTGTGGCTGTAGTTGCAATGATTCTTCCAAGATAAGTGAAGGAGGCAACCTCGTTATTACTATCATTATTATTTGAACCACAAACTCGCCGTCATCGGTTAAATTTTTTTATTCATAAATCTATGTGAATTAGACTAAAGCCTGAAGAAGATCTAATTGAAAACAGCAATACTGTTTCGCTTATATGTCTTGTTCTAATTTTACCAATAGGAATAAACTTACTCCCATACTTTTATACATGGACAATATCCTGTCCGTTGGTTGTTGAAGGTTCATACATTTTCACAGAAGAAATTAAAAAAAACTCAGTATCAATTTTATATTTCCCTCTTCACGAACCAACACCGATGAGCACATCAAGCCAATAATAGAGCACTGGACAGCTGTTTCGCCTACTAGTTCAAGACGCTTCATCAGTGTCACCTACCTACTACTACTCTCCACTACTGTGCTGGAATTCCAAGTGATCTCTAACTGATGTATTTTCGTGACGAAATCTATCTTGAAATCACTACCAAATCCCTGCCGGGGGAATAAATCCATCCTGAATCATAACTATTTTGGTTTAAATATTACTAGTACTACTTTGGAGAGAGCTGTCTGCTAGCCGAAATTGGTAGACAGCAATTGACGTCAATGTTTACGTCCCATATCTTGCTCATGAGAAAAGAACAAGAACAAAGGCTAACTCAACAACCAATCACAGCGGACTTTGCGTGGGAGGATACGATTGGCAGAAATATGGCCTGACCTTCAAAGAAACGGTTACAAAGAGACGACAAAATAACCTTCAGCAGGAAAACAACCAATCAGAAGACGCTGTTTCTCTGCTGATAATAACGCTAATAATAATGTACACAAAAATCTAGAAATATCCCTTGATTTTCTGAATAAAGCGTATGTTGCCTGGCCCTTGTCTTCTACTAACCTTTTTAACAGTTCAATAACAATGGTATGATTTCGACTGGTTATTGCTGTTTGTAAATCATCCAATATGATATTTGATGATATGCTATGCTTCGATAAAGCTGAGTTCAATTCATCCAATGATATCTTGTCAGGCTGTCAAAAAAACAAAACAAAAAACAATGACAGATAGACATGTTAACAAAATAGGAGGGAGGGTAAAGTTTTCAATGACTAAAACGACAGATTTGTGTCACTTTAGACCATGAAAGCATAAGATGACTTGTATTCTGTTGAAGACTGAAATATACACCAGAAAATGAAGTAAAACCATACAGCTTCTAAACACCATCATCCTGTATGATTAAGTAAGGGATCTACGAGCTCACCTTGAAAATAAAAAGTCCTGGGTTCGAACCCTGTCAGTGGGTGCGTGCTGATAAAGAGTCTCAAACTAGGCTGTCGAAACAGCTGTCCAGTAGTCCCAGGTTTTTCAATGGTTCTCTAACTGATGTCAACTCAAGATGAGAACCTCCAACTAATTTTCAATAGATAAGAAACCTGTATCTAGTAATCAATGGATTCAGAAAGCGTTCCGCAGATTCATCTTAAGTTAAACATACTTCTGAAAGATTATACAGACAGCTGAGTTGCCTTTCTGTGTTTCTCTAATCGATTTCTGCTCATTCGGTTAAAAGGAGGTTTAATTAGAGAATATTATGTGAACTATTCATGAAGATGTGTTGGTGGCACAGAGGTAGAATTCTTGCCGACTACGCATATGGTTCGGGGTTCGATCCCCGGCCACAGAGGCACTCCTTCCTTTACCTCGCTAAGCCAGTAATAAGACTGGTAAAGAGGGAAGGTTGGATGTGAGCCTAGCAACCCCACTGCTCTCGAAACTTCAAAGCTCTGTAGCTTGAAGCTCTCTACGTCCCAGTCAAGGAACGTCATGGAATAAAGAAAAAACGTATTATGAAAGCTAATCTTAATTTCCAAGTGTTGGTTTTCAGGAATTTGATTTCATTTGATTGGCTACAGGATTTCAACATCATCAGCTGATGTCAGTTAGTGAACCTTTGAAAAATCACCAGAGAGTACTGAACAGAAACTGTTTCTTCAGCCTGGTTTGAGACTCTTCTGAAGTACGCACTCACAACAGGAGATTCGAAACCGGCACTTTCCAGTCACAAGGCAAGGCTTATGATCACTAAGCCACTGGGACCTAATCCAATGACCAGCTCATGAATTCTAACTTCTGCTAACAATTCACGCACGATATAGTGTGACCAGCACTAACCAATGTCATCGATGGCGAGTAACTGTCCTCACACTAGACCTGGAGTCCAGCACCGATGTCAGCTCACGATGAGATGCTGTAACTATTCAAATCCCCGCAAACCAACATTTGAATATGAATCTGATGCTCACTAGTCGATGGTCCTATTCAGGTAGGTTGTTACATGGGTTCTAGTGTGAAGTCGTGACAACTGGGTTACAGCAGGTCGAGTATGAGGACAAATGCTCGCCAGTGATGATATGGGCCAGTACCGGTCTAATTCTTCCAGGTCGGCCATTTAATCTTCAAATACAGAACGAAGGCAACTGTCGATTGACGTCTGCAACAGGCTGTTGGAAATGCTTTTCGGGAGGCGAGAGCCAACTTTCTAACCCATATAGAAAAAAATAAACTGACTTCACATTGATGCTGGAAATTCGAATCTTGTTCTTTTTTGCTCAGTGCAGTGCATCAGATTTCCAAACTGCTTTCAGACTGATGAAGGTGGGTACTTTGCCTTTCCAATTCTGGCTGGCTGCCTTTGACATCTATATCCATGACGTGTGTGTCTCCTAGCCAGATAAGTGAAGGAAGTAAACTCTTAAATCTCTCGCGTTGATGGTGACTGGTGCTAGTTGTTGTTGTCGTCGTTTCTGTTGGTTGGTTATCTTCACCACCTCCCTCTCCTCTCTGTTCGCCTGGAGTCCTCTCTTCGCTAGTGGCTTCTCTAGCCAGTTTATTGGTTTCCGCAACAAACAATACATAAATAGTATAAAACTTTCACACAAAAAAGCATTAATCTATAAGATACAAATAAATACTTGTTACTTAGACAGAAAAGGAAGAAAAAAAGAACATACCATGCCTGTTATATTATTCATTTTACCAACTGTATACATCAGCCATCGATTGACAGGATCTAATTTTGATATGTCCAGTGAATCTTTGATCAACTTTACAGCATATACCAAATTATCCGAGTGGCTTGGTTTTATGCCTAAGAGAGAAAATATCATTACGGTTTCTTTTCTTTGTTATTGTTTACAAATGAAAGTCGATTAACAATACACTAAATGGTAATAATAATAATAATTAATAATTTACTTTATTCCAAAAGTAGTACTTGTGATACAGAATGGAATTTTCAGCATTAATCACAATATTGCATCTAATTTTCTCAAATTATAAACAAAATTAATCACACAGAAAATTTTTCAACATTTACAATAGGGATAGAGTCAAAAAAACATGCAGCATATAAAATGGAAATAATAATAATGATAGCAGCTAAGGTAATGATAATAATACAAGTGGAAATTGCCGTGGGCTTGTTTCACACAGTATTGTCGATGCGGAATACAAATCCTTGCATGATTAAAAGTATTGAATATTATGTTCTCTTTACATGATATGATGAGGGAAAAAACAAAGATTACAGCAGTCATACAGATAAGTTGGTGTTTGCAATTATGAAAGTAAAACAAAGAATCAACAGGACCATAAATATAATAGAAATAATAAGCGTAAAACTTGAAGGTATATAAAGATGGATGGAGGAGATTGTTTATTTACTAGATGAAAAAAGGTTAGTCAATTCTTGCCTGACGCCATTTTCATCACATAAAATACGTGCCAAGTATGGTATCATAGAATTTTTATACTTAGACGTGCGAGCATACAATTTTCTGAAGTTACTTCTTGTTCTGCCTGAGGAGATGCAAAGTGAAAGCTGAGGGTGAAGTGGATGCTCCATGTCGGACGAAATCCCTTTAGCAAATTTATTGCACGAAGTCAAGTGCCTATCGACAACGACGTTGACTATGTGGTCGACTGGGACACCACTCATCCTACCGACCGTCTTCAGCATTCTACGAATTGTGACAAAGTCCTTTTTAAGCAAACCAGGATAGAATAAGGGTGAACAATAAAAAAAGACAGGTAGGTAGTTGCCTGGGGTTCTAGTGAGAAGTCGTGACCAGTATGGTGCAGCAGGTCGGGTGTGAGGACAAATACTCGCCGAAGACATGGGCTAGGGATCGCGCTATGTCGTGAATTGGCAGAAGTTAGAATTCATGGACCATTGGATCGGGTCCCAGTGGCTTAATGGCATACGAGCTCGCCTTGTAACCAGAAGGTCCTGGGTTCGAATCCCGGTGGATGCGTACTACTGAAGAGTCCCAAACTAGGACGAAACAGTTGTCCAGTACTCCCAGGTTTTCCAATGGTTCTCTAACTAATGTCAGCTCATGATGAAAATCCTGTAACCAATCAAATCCCTACAAACCAACACTTGAGAAAAAGAATAGGTAGGATGCAAGATTTTATGAACTGTAAGAGGAGGGGTTGAGTTATAGCCGAGTGCCTTAACTTCTCAATGTAAAATGTCAGGCGGAATATTTTAGTGGAGATCGCCAAGACATGGGAAGACCAGGAGAGATCAGAAGAGAGAATGAGTCCAAGATACTTAATTTCTGACTTAATTCCTATATCAGTGTCGTCAATCTTACAGCTGTCGTGAGAATCGACGGCTTCTTGTAACTGTTTTTCATATCTTAAGCTGAAATTAACAGTTTGACATTTAGAATGATTCAGTTTAAGACCGTTAGACTCAGACGATATAAGAATGTAGGAGATTTTCAGATCAGGTAGATGATTTCGATTTGAGTTGTGTTCTCCAAAGGGGTTGGTTGATTGACTGACGTAATTTGCAAAGCTTTCATTGTCCTCCTTCTTCTAGACAACATCAATTTTAGCTCAAAATTATATATATATATATATATATAGGTGTACAGCCAGAAGAGGAAACTATCGAAAAGAATATTCTTTGCACAAATTTTGCTTTTGTCGTCTAAATGTCTGAATAAATATTTTCGCTATATTAATCCATTGCTTGAGTTCCGCCAGACACGGGATATCAAACTTTACAGGTAAATCTCCACTCCAATCTATTGTCTGGCATCACTTTTCCCCATACACAAGACTATCAAACAAGTTTGCATTTCCTCTGTCCACGACCTTCACCATATCCACCTCGGATGCAAAGAAAACACATCCGCTCTCCTTTTTGATTTCTCCTTTCATAGCTTGGCAATGTGATACTATTTGAATTTCCCGTCTATCTGCATTTCTTTCTTCATGTCCACCTTGTTAGTTAGTTAGTTAGTTAACTGCTAATGTTTCGTGTTACTAATCCGTCTTTATCACAATCTAACCTTCAGTGTCCAGTGAAATTAGGTAGGTGTTGATTAAATTCTGTATCAACCTGCTAGAAACGCTTTCCCCGACACATGTACCAAGTCAATGAGTTATGCACTGAAGCACTGAACTCGGATTTTTTTTCCCCTACGCTAGACTCAGTAGATCTTCACGTCAATTTCAGCGTAATGAATGTCTGTATTGTATTCGCGAACCTGGATAGCTTCGATATTCGCCTGTGTGCCACCTGTCTATCTGTCTGTCTGTTTTCAACATAGAACTTTGCACCGATGTGCAGCAGTTCAAGTCGCAAGAGAAGAAAGTAGAAGAAATGCAAAATGAAAAACAGTAGACAGGGATATGAGACAAAAGGAATAGTAATAACGAAGAACAATATAGTTTCATTGGAAATTATAAGTCACAAGGAGTGAATGCATCTGCACCAGTCATTGAGGACGATTTTGAGCCATATCACCAATTGTCTCCAGCCGTCATTGGTTTTTACAATCCCGAGGACCCCAACCAGGAAGTCTACACCTTCCTACGCGACTGGCTTAAACTAACTGTTGTGTATTTCATTGACTGGTGCCATGTTTTGGTTTGTCCGCCATTAGCTCTTTTCTGGACTGACCTAAAGTCAGCTAACATTCCTACATGGAGTGTGGTGACTTGAACTGCTGTACATCGGTGCAAAGTTCTATGTCGAAAACAGACAGACAGACAACATTGCCTGTCAAGGAAGGCGATGGCTAGGCACGCATGTGTAACACACGTCCTAACCATCTCAGTCAATGTAATTTCACAGCCTCGTTGATTGATTTCCCCTCACTCCTTACCTAGCACTCGACGCCTAACCTTAATATTGCTCACCCTATCACATCACCTTACACAGGAGATAAAACACAGACACCTATGATCAAACACAGCTAACCAGCCTTTTCTTGTCTTTCACTATCAATGGCCAGGTCTCACAGCCATTAGTGAAGACGGAGCGGACTGATGAGCAGTACACTCACCCTTTGGTCGATATCACCTCTACGCCAGAGACGGTGTGAACTGCCACATGCGAAATCAGCCCTCTGTATTCGTGCTGAGATTTCCTCAGAGATCAACCCGTTGTGCCACACCTGCAGTTGGAACAGTTTTGTCTGTCCAGGTAATTGAAAGAGACGACCATATTTAGATTTATCCTGTCAGAAATAATTGATGTTTATTGTTAGTTGAGTATCTATTAAACCATACTTTACCTCAATTGAAACGTTAATATTACATAAGAGATCAAAAGCAATAATAATAACATCGAAAATGTACACGGAGAAGAAATTCACTTACGTAGTATATTTAGTAAGTGATTACAAAATACCAAATAACTTTCTGAATAATGTTCTGATACAAAATCTACCATTGGTTTAAACCATTCCTCCTACAGTATAATACAAAAAGAAGAAAAAAACAGGAAAAGAGTCACAAAGACTATTCAACTTGTAATACTGATGATGTCCATCTGAAAAGTAGTAGAAATACAATGAAACATGTGGAACACGATTATTTCATTAAGCGACCAAGATTGGTAAGCCTCATTTTGATATAAAAGTAGCTTTGAAATGTATACCTAGCTAGTTAGATATTATGAGGAGCGATAACTTGAAATACAAACTTGGAGGCACATTTCCCCATATTTCGGACGCAGCGATTGAATTTACTTGCTCCCCAGTGAGTTCCAGTTAATAATGAAAACAAAACTCGTAGTGTATACCAATCCGCCAACCAAAATAAAAGCGGAAATCTTGAATGCAGTCTGCCCAAATGCCTTAAGCTCCTCTTCACATGACCTCATCTATGTCACCCTAGCACTGACGACCAACTCGCCGCTTACCGTTTGGTTTCCACTCAAGTGATGACCCGGCGTGTGATGTCACTAGATGGCCTTTTTTCTCAGAGTATGGCCAATCCATCTCCATTTCTTCCTGCCTATTTGTTGCACAATCGCTTCCTGGTTGGTTTGCTCCCACAGATTTCTATTACTGGTCTTCTCTGGTCAGATATCTGATTTAGAGTATTACTGAGCAAAGACAGCTGTTGATGAACGTCTGTAGTTTGTTCGAAGTGCCTTTTGTGACCAACCAAGTTTCTGATTCGTATAGCAAGTAGCACTGACTTCAAATTGGGGTTGATGATCCGGATCTTATTTTTCATGCTGAGTGCTGTTGATCTCCACATAGTTTTGGTGAGAGTAATGAAAGCTTGCCTTGCTTTCCTGATTCTTGCTTTAATATTCTCGCCAGTTCCGTCCACCTGTAGTTGAAACGATGTATCCCAGGTGGGTAGGTAGGTAAAAGAGGTTGTTTCTTTCAGGTTCCTTCCATTTATGTTGGCTGATTGTTGTCTGTAGATGTTGCTGTCTTTGTAACTGTTGACCAGGAATCTTCATCACCTCTGTTTCCTCTATATTCACCTGAATCCCTCCTATTTTTGATGCTTCTTCTGCCAATTTTTTGTTTTTCCCTTGCATATCCTCCAACTTGTGCGAAATCAGACATAGATAAGACATCGGTGAAGTCCAGATCCTCCAAGTTTTTTGTGTGGGTCCGTTTTACGCCTGTTTCCTCGCTGTCCGCCGCTGTCTGTCGCATTATCCAGTCTACCGCAATCAGGAAAATCATTGGACATAGTAGGCAGCCAGCTTGTCTTACTCCCGTCTTCACTTCTTTGAAGAATTCCGTGAGTTTCCCGTTGTGGATTACCTGGCATGCAGCATTATCGTACAACTGTTGGATGAGGTATATAATTGTTGGTGGCATCCCGTAATAGTTTCCAAATCACCCCTAGATCGACGCTGCGTTATCGAAGGCCTTTTCACAGTCAATGAAGTTGATGTAGAGAGCTGACTGCTATAATCTATACAAAAACAGCACTAGTAATCAAGCATCAGTATATCATTCGACGCAGAAGACATTTCTTTCTCTCAGAAATACTTACTCATGAAGAAACACGTAAAAATATACTCTTTATCAAAGCTAAGCAGGAAGATGTTGTGTCTGAACTGATGTTCAGTGAACCTTTTTTTCTCGTGATAACAAAATTCAAATCTTAGATGGCGGGATCTAGAAAACCAGCAGAAAAAATCTTCAAATGGCATGATTAATTTGAAGTCCCGAAGGTAAAAAAAACACTGGAATGAAAGCAAAAAAGAAGTAGTATGTCACTGACTGATTCTCTCAACAGCCTTATATACGAGCAGGATTTTACAAAAACAGAAATTATTATTGTTTAACAGAAAAATACGAGAGGATAAACTAACCTTAGCTAAACATAAACTGGCCAATTCATGCATAGATTCTTCCTCTGGTAGTTTATTAATAATGTACTGTAATAAAGAATAATAAGTAAATAAATTATTTTAAGAAACAGGATTACTATTAGATTTCCTTAGCCACACATTAAAAATATATAATACTATGTTTATTAGAATTATTTCCTTGGGTTCCAAGTAGAACATTGGGTTTCAATAGCACATCTCTATTTTGTTCTGTTCTCTGCAGTCTTCAGCTGCCCGAAAGGATAGTCTGTACGCTTTTATTTCCACACCAAATGATATCCTTCACTTCACCGTCACACTGATGCCCAGCTCGTCATTTCGCATTCGCGTTCCACTCGAACTATGGACTGGCGCGCAATGTCATTCGACGTCTTCCTAGGTATGTGGCTTATCCGTCTCCGTGTCCTCCGGAATATTTGTTGACAAACAGGTTCTAAGGTTGGTTCGTTCCAAGAGAATCTCTCTGTTAATTCTTTCTGGCCAGCCAGCCGGCCATCTGATCTTCAGTATGGAGCCAGTGACCACAGCTGTTGATAAAAGTTTTTTGACTGACTGACTTACTTGACATTGGTTTCAAACATCCCAATTTTGCTATTCGTTCTGAGTGCAGTGCAGAAGAATCCTAGACTGCTTTCAGAGTGATGAAGGTGTTTTTTGCCTCATTGATTCCGGCTGGTTTTGACATCCTCCTCACCCATCCTGTCACCTGTAGTTGGAACATTGTTTCCTAACCAGAAAAGTGAAGAAAGTGACTTCTTTCAAATTTCTTCTGTTGAGAGTAATTGGTACTTGTTGTTGTTGTTGTTTGTTGGTTATCTTCATCCGCTCCATCTTCTCTGTGTTCACTTGAAATCATGTCTTTGCTGCTGATTAGTAGTTATTAGCGTAAAACGCGAAGGAAAGCAGCTACCTACTCAATGTGGTTGTCAGACTTTCGATTTGTAATGATCAACTAAGTCAGGAGATATGTTCCTTCAGAAATTACCACTCTAGAAACATCCTTTAAGTACCAACTAGACTAAAAGAAGTTACCATAACAGTGTAAGTAGTCTATAAAATATTTGTGTGTGGGGTGGTCTCAGGGTGTGATTGTACTGCTGGAGACCGGGGATAAAACAGCAGTCCGATATTTCAACCGGATGACCAACAAGCTAGCTAGCTAGCTATGCAACTTTTCTACTCTAAGGAGGATGGTTAGGTTTACCCTGCAGCGGTTTACAGCTGGCAGTAATATCTTCATAGGGATACAACTCTAAAAACTACTTAAAACGGACTGAAGTAGTTGTCCCTTGGGTACTACAATTACACAACCCTAGTGCTTCTTCTGTTTAGCATATTTCAAGAATGAATCAACTTCAACAGTGTGGGCAGCCGTTGTATTATTGTATTATTATTGTATCCTTTAATTCCTAGAGGAACATAGGGATTCAGCCGTGCGTCTCCATTGCGTTCGGTTGTCTGCTACAGTCTTCACCTGGCTCCAAGTCTGCCCACACGTTTTTTGTCTCCTCTTCACACCACCTACTCCAAGTCACCCATCCACTGACGAACAACTCGCCGCTTCCCTTTCGGGTTCCACTCGAGCAATGGCTTGTCTAGTGATGTCACTTGGTGGTTTCCTCAGAATATGGCCAATCCATCTCCATTTCTTCCTGCCTATTTGTTGCACAGTCGGTTCCTGCTCGGTTGGTTCGCTCATTGCCAGAGATCTCTGTTGCTGATCTTTTCTGGCCAGCCATCTGATCTTGAGTATTATTGAGCGAAGACAACTGTTAATGAAGGTGTGTAGTTTGTTTGAGATGCTCTTTATGACGCGCAGTGCAAGTCTCTGATACGTATAGTGAGTAGCACTGACTTCACATTGGAGTTGGAAATCCGGATGTTATTTTTGATGCTGAGTGCTGTTGACGTCCACACAGACTTGAGAGAAATGAAAGGTTGTCTTGCTTTTCCGATTCTTGCTTTGATATCCTCGTCAGTTCCATCCGCCTGTAGTTGAAACGATGCTTCCCAGGTAAGTAAAAGCGGTTGTTTCTTTCAGATTTCCGCCATTTATGCTGATTGTTGTCAGTTGTTGCTGTTGTCCTCACTTCGGAGGATTCCGTAAGTTTCCCGTTGTGGATTACTTGGCGTGCAGCATCGTCGTACAACTGCTGGATGAGATGTATAATTGTCGGTGGCACCCCGTAGTAGCGAATTAGTTGCCAATTCACCTCTCGATCAACGCTGCGCTGTTGAAGGCCTTTTCAAAGTCGATAAAGTTGAGATAGAGAGGTGACTGCCATTCCAAGCTTTGTTCAATGATGATCCGTAATGTGGCGATCTGATCAATGCATGACTTGTTTCTCCTGAATCCAGCCTGTTCAGGTCGAAGTTTTTCATCCAGGTTGGCATGTTTGACTCTCTCCAGGATGATGGGGCTTAGTATTTTGCTTGGAATGGACAGGAGCATAATTCCGCGCCAGTTCTTGCATTGACTTAGGTCTCCGTTTTCAATGCTTCTGCTGGGATTCCATCTGGTCCTGCCGCTTTTCCAGCTTTTAGCATCTGGGTTCCCTTCAGGACTTCTGATTTCGTCAGGGGGTTGGTGTTCACTGGTAGCTCTGTCTCCGTTGTTGGTATTGCTGGGCGCGTTGTAGGTGGTGGTCGATTTAGGAGTCTTTTGAAGTGTTCAGCCCAGTGTTTCCTTTGCTCCACTTCTTTGTTGAGTGACTTTCCATTGTCATCCTTCACCGGCTTGATTTGTGTCAAACGTTTCCTCGGTAGGTACCTAGTTGTTTGGTAGAGTGTTGCGAGGTCTCCTTTGCCTGCAGCGTGTTCTGCTTGACTTGCCATGGTTTCATAATATTTTCTTTTGTCTTCCCTGACACTCTTCTTTACTCTTTTGTTCAGTGTATTGTAGCTTGCATTCAACTCCTGTTTTTGTTGCTCGTCGGTGCACTGGAGAATCTTTTGTTTCACCATCCCTCTCTCTTCTATTAGTTTCCAAGTGTCCGTAGTGAGCCATTGTTTGTCCTGTCTCTTCTTTCTGCCTAGAACTTCCATGCAGGTTTCACTCCACACTGTCACCATGTTGTTCCAGTGCTTTTCGACGCTGACCTCTTCGCTAATGTTGATTTGTGTCTCAGCTTTGTCCTTTATACTTGCAGTGAAGATGTCCTTTGTGTCCTGGTCCTCCAGTTTTTGAGTGTTGAAGTTGGCTTGTGGTCTATCTGCAGCTCCTGATTCTCTGAAAGCTTTTAATTTGATTTGGATTGTCCCTTGTACGAGATAGTGGTCTGAGTCAAAGTCTGCTCCTCTTCTTAGTTTCGTGTCCAGCAGGCTGCGCCTCCACTTCCTTGAGATTGAGATGAAGTCGATTTGGGTTTTGGTTCGCCCATCTGGTGACACCCATGTAGCCTTGTGGATATCCTTGTGTTTGTATACGCTGCCACCAATCACTAGTTCATTGAAGGCGCAGAAGTCGGCGAAGAGTTCTCCATTTTCATTCATTTCTCCGAGAGCTTCTCTACCCATGATGAGTTTCCTTCCTGTGTTGTCTGATCCCAGTTTGGCGTTCATGTCTCCCATTAGTATTTTAATGTCACCAGCTGGAGTATTGTCAATTGTTGCCTGTAGTTGTCTGTAGAATTCTTCTTTCGTTTCGAGGTCTGCGTTGTTGGTCGGTGCATAGCATTGTATAATTGACACTTTCCTTCCTTTGGAGTTGAATCTGGCGGTCATTATCCTGGGCGAGATCGCCCCCCATTGCATGAGGGCCTTCGTTGTAGTTGGTGACATCATGATAGCCACGCACTCGGTGTGCGAGTGGTTATCCTCTGGGTGACCGGAGTAGATCACTGACTCACCCGTTGACAATTTGGTGAGTCCATTCCCGATCCATCTGCTTTCACATATCCTCAGTACTTGAATTCTGTATCTTTTCATTTCGTTTGCGATCTGGGTAGCTTTGCCAATCTCGTACATAGTACGGACATTCCATGTCCCCACAAAGACTTTTTCTTTTGTCTCAAGGAGATACATCGTGCTGAATTTTCTGTAGTAGGTTTGTTTACAGGGTGGGGTTGCTAGCCTCACGCCTGAGAAGGGGGGTTGTTACATCAATTTATAATTTAGAGAGAAGCGACCTTGTGGGTTGCTCCCCTTAAAAACCAGGAAAACAGGGAATAAACAAGCAGGCAGCCGTTGGGGGGGAGGTAATGACTGCCCACACACTTCCATAAGCGCATAAGGCCCTCGTGATCATTATTCGTCATCACTCCTTTAAAACACCGTACTATACAGAACACAGTGATCTCCTTCTTGTAAGTCCCTACACATTCCAATAACACAGCACTTTGGTCCTAGTAACTTTGTGGGCACCTAGGTACAATGTATTATGCATTCAATCTATAATCAATCAAGGAGTACTTTATTGGGTAGTTGTGTAAGTGCTGGCAGAGGGGTGACAGATGAGATTTCCAACCATGTTATGAAAGCTAGGGTGGGATACGTTAACTTGGACCAGCTCTGGCGCTGTAGCGACGTTACCCTGGCTGCCAAAAGTCGGATATACAATGCTTCGGTGCGGGCTGTCTTGCACTACGCCTGTGAAACTTGGACTCTAGGAACTGAGGATGTTCGGCGACTCTGAGTAATCCACCATCGCTGTCTCCGTAGAATTGCTTGCGCTCGATAGTATCATCGTGTGAGTAACTCTGAGATAAGCGATGTGTGTTTGGACACACTGGAGATCACCATTCATTGTATGTCGTCGTCATCTGGAAACACCAGCTCCGTTGGCTTGAACATGTGCTGAGAATGTCATCCTGGAGGCTTCCGTATAAGCCTCTGTTTGATAACCCTGGTACGGGATGGTGAAAGTGGAGAGGTGGTCAGCTCACGACTTGGCGTCGTGAGATGAAAGATATTTCCGTTAGGTTGACATCACTTGGTTCATCACAACTCCCTGGTTTGGGTACGAGAAACCTTATCGGATATGATCAAGAATCGCAATCATCAGTGGCGAAGGTACTGCAGTTTCTTTCTCTCTTCCCTCTTTCTGAAAATAATTCGACGAATGCTGTTTGGTCTTGTGAAATATAACTGCTTTCTATCCAGATGAAGTCCCTCATTCATTCTTTACCTATTTTTTATTTTCCGTATGCAAGGATCGGGAAAGCAAGGTAAGCTTTCATTACTCTCAAGTCTGTGTGGAGGTCAACATCATTCAGCGTCAAAAATAAGATCGGGATTTTCAACTCCAATGTGAAGGCAGTACTACTATACGGATCAGAGACTTGGCGTGTCACAAAAAGCACCTCAAACAAGCTACAGACCTTCATTAACAGATGTCTTCGCTCAATGCTCAAGATCAGATGGCCGGAAAGGATCAGCAACAAAGATCTCTGGGAGCGAACCAACCAGGAACCGATTGTGAAACAAATAGGCAGGAAGAAATGGAGATGGATTGGCCACACTCTGAGGAAACCATCAAGTGACATCACTAGACAAGCCCTCGAGTGGAACCCGAAAGGGAAGCGACGAGTTGGTCGTCCAAGGGTGACCTGGAGGAGATCATGTGAGGTGGAGATGAAAGCATGTGGGCAGACCTGGAGCCAGGTGAAAACTCTAGCAGAGAACCGAACGCAGTGGAGACGCATGGCTGAAGCCCTATGTTCCTCTAGGAACTAAAGGAAATAATAATAATAATGTTGTGGTTTTAGTATTATTTGGTGGCATATTGTACCAGGTTTTGTGTTTTGAATAAAATAATATAAGAAACTCATCACTTGAAAGCTTTATACACTAATTTTTCGGTAACATAATTGGTTGTTTAACACTGACTACACTTAAAAAAGAGGACTTTTACAATCGCCGACGCTAGCGGTCGCGCTACACCATGAATTCTTGGTAGAGGTTAGAATTCATAGGCTGGCGATTGCATAGAGTCCCAGTGGCTGCTAAATAGTCTACGAGCTTCGCTGGCCTTGTAACCAGAAGATCCTGGGTTCGAACCCCCTGTGGTGGGTGTGTACTGTGAAGCGTCGCGAACTGGGACGAAACAGTTAGCTGTCCAGTACTCCCTGAAGGTTTTCCAATGGTTTTCTAACCGATGTCAGCTCATGATGAAATCCCCCAACCAACCAATCAATCAAATCCTTACAAATTATCATTTGGTTCCCATCTATTTTACCACAGGGTGAAAACATAAAATAAAGAAATGAAGTGTTACATAATGACCACATCATTATTCCATGTAGTTAACTATGAGCCACACTTATTATACAACGACTAGTGATGTTACCTGACTGCCTAAACGTTCCCAGGTAAGGGTGGCTCGAACGCCCTGACCACCCATTTGACTGGAAGTCAGAATGCACAGAATAGATCAACGATCCACAGCTCCATCAACCGAAGATATCAGAGATGCAAAGAAACCATTTGTCGAAGGTTTTATTATTAGATAATTAAGTGCAGGTGTAAACTTTCCGGATGAATTTTTTCGTGGTACGATTTTCAAGACACATAAGCCATCACTCTCAAGGTTATAATGTGTTCATTTTTATTATTCAATCCAATCTTATGTATAGTAATTAACGAAAGTGATGCATGATCCAACTAAACAAAGTTATTAAACAAGTTAATTGAACAGAAATATTATTCAGATTTTCAATTTAAGAAAAAGGATTTCAATAAATTTAATTGTAGATTTTAAACCCAGTGGGTTCGCTTCACAATTTAATGACCCTGTCTTCGATTCTTGATGTCATGGTCATTGGTGTGTATCTCCAAACAGTCCAAGACTAAGACGTGACAGCTATACTGCAATACTTTTGGGTTTTGCTTACAAGATTTCATCATCATGAGCTAACATCAGCTAGAGACTACAATATAATTATCTGCTTTAGTTCCTAGAGGAACACAGGGTTTCAGCAGCACGTCTCCATTGCCTTCAGTTCTCTGACAACCTTTTTACCATCCGTCTCCACGTCTGCCATCTTCTCTTCACATCACCTCTTTCATGTCATCCTCACACTGACGACCAAGTCGCCTCTCCTCACTCGGGTTCCATTCGAGTGATGACCTGTCGTGTGATGTCACTTGATGGTTTGTTTTCTCAAAGTATGGCTAATCCACCCTCTAGTTTGAAACTTTTCAGCAGTACGCACTCACCAGGATTCGAACCCAGGACCCTTTCTTCACTCTTTAGGTTCCGAGTGGAATACAGCGTTTCACATTTGAGCTTTGAAGTTTCAGCAGGCATAGAGATAGGTTACTAATCTCATGCCTGACAGCCCTTCCTTTTTTTCAAGTTTATTATTGGCTAAGCAAGGTTTAAGAATGCGCCGGGAGTCGACCTGGCACATCCAGCATAGGCGTCGGGCAGTGAAACATCGAAACTACCGATTCACACCAAATAAGATTGAAAATATTCAGATATCCAGTGTTTCAAACACTATGGAGTCTAGGAAAAGTGGTTATATGGTTGTACTGTTCAAGAAGACGCGTACAAAGAACATTTTATGCACATTAAGAAAAGAAACAGAAGTCAAAACTATTCAACGAGGAAAAAAGAAAGAAGAATTACCTGTAAAGTTGGTGCATCAAAACCATTTTGATAAATTTGACGTGCAATCGACAAAGTGTTTGTTTTTCCACAATTGGCAATTATATCAACTACTATATTGGTATAAATATATACATATTTTTTAATAGAAATTAATACGCTGGTTAGTAGAATAAAAGAAATAAGGGTGATAATGATTTTTGACAAATAACTTATTTTTCTATAGTTGGTTTTTAAGGATTAGATTTGTTTTTACGAGTTTGGCCACGGATTGATATCAGTTAGAGAACCATTGAAAACCAGCACTGGAGTAGTGGACAGCTGTTTTATCAGCCTAGTTTGGGAATCATCGGCAGTACGCAACCAGTGGCTGAATGGTATACGAGCTTGCCTTGTTACAGGAAGGTCCTGGGTTCGAACCCTTGCAGTGGCTGCGTACTCCCGGTGATTCCCAAACTAGGCTGATGAAACAGTTGTGCAGTACTCCGGTACTAGTTTTCAATTGTTCTCTAGCTGATATCAATCCGTGGTCAACTAGTAAAAACAAATAACTTAACATGAAATATGTGACTTCTTATTTTAAAAACTAATCGGTTTTCTGTATTCAACTTTCTACTGCTGTGGTGAGACCTGGCTACTAGCCAAAGTTGGTAGACAGTAATTGACGTCAATGTTTATGTCCCCAATATTAGTGGTGAGAAAATGAGAACAAAGGCTTTGCGTAGGCAGGTACAGTTAGCATATGGATGATCTGACACAGCCACAAAGAGATACAAGGTTAACTTTCTGTGAGAAACAACCAATCAAAAGACTGCATTTTCTACTAACAATAATCTACAATAATTTACATGAAAATCTATAAATTTCTGTGCGTCGGTGGCACAGTGGTTAGGACTCTCGCCGACCATGCACATGGTCCGGGGTTCGATCACCTGCCGGCGCACACCCGATATCTATGGTATGCCTGAATTTGGGGAACCGATATCCATGCTGAAAATTCCATACTTGTACTGAAAATACGGTGTGGAATCAAGCTGTAAATCAAAATATTAAAAAAAAATAAAATAAATTTCCTTAGTGAACGATCTGTTGCCTGGCCCTTGTCTTCTGTTGTTACACCACCACCACCACCACCTATTTGTGACTCGTCATCTGGATGCATATGAAGACTTGAACAAATCCTGTAGGTCCTGTCATTCTGAAAAACCAAAGCGTTACCCACTAGTAGGCCACGATAGTCATTACTCGTTCAGCTTGATATCATTAACTCTGCCTTTAGTGAACACATACACACTTAACTAACCCTTAAAATACACAGATCACGGTAGATCCCATGTGAACCACAGATATCCTTTTGGAGCATCACTAGAATCTATTGAATAAAGGATAGCTGTTTTCCAGCTGTAATCGCAAAACTGGAGACCGAATATCTTGGAGCTTCACAGGTTAGGAGATGATCACATCAATATTTATTCAAGCAATGATTTAAAATTCAATGGTTTATGAAATCGAACTTCTATCTGCTAATTTTATAGACAGTATCTTTAATTTCTTTCTGTGGTGAAATGCAGCCGTACAAAAAACTCATATTTATTATATTTATTTAATATTTATTTAAACGCAGAAAAACTTGGTACAATATGGCACCAAGAAAGATGCGCCACACAATATTGTGTGAGGGCTGAGATACTGCCCGGGCGCCCAGACCGAAGCAGGTGGTTTTCTTAAGGGACCACGCCCCGAGCCTTTGACTTGGAGTCTAATCCGCAAGGCAGCGGAGCAGCGTCAGGAGCTGCGTTCCCATGGTTGCCGGTGACCCATATGGGTTCATACGCCATTTGATCCGATTGAATTCTGGAGCCCATGTACCCCATGGTAACTGCTTTTAGCCTAACCGCTATCCAAACAACCTTCCTGACATGGTAGGACCTGCAGGGACATGAGTCCCAGTCAGTTTAGCTTGTTGGGTCACTGCGGCATTCAAGCCCGACCACCACGGCAAAACAAAAACCTCAGCCTCCTAACAAATAAATTTTCGATAACTATGGTGAGAGCTGGCTGAGAACATGCCAAAATTGTAAACAACAATTTACATTAATGCTCACGTCTCGAATCAACAACTACCATCCTTCTTTACAATTCACCACAGAAAAGGAATCTGAACTAAGTATTCCGTTTCTTGATGTGTGCCTTATAGTAGACGTAATGACGGATCTCTCAAAAGATCTATTCACCGGAAACGTACATGGAATGGACAACCAACTACTTTTTATAGTTGGGTGCCTATCTCCAGTAAAAGGAACCTAATTTATTCGCTCTGCTTTAGGTTAAGGAACATTTTTAGTTGTGATTGCGTTGTCTCAGAACTTGGCTTCTTAAAAGCCACGCTCTCAGAAAACGGTTACCCTAACCGATTTATTGACAGAAACATGAAAGATAAGTAGTCTAAACTGGTCACCGACTCAGTTCCAAAGAAAAACTTATTCATGAACTTGGAATTCAAAGGTGATCAAACTTCAGATATGCTCAAAAACAGTCTCTCCAAATCAGCCAGTAAGACGTTCTTTGCAGCAAAATTACATATGACGTTCACTAGCCGCAAGTTGTTCTCTACCTGTGTAAAAGATAAGCTCCCCCGACTGGCCGCCTCTATGTGCATCTATCAGTTCACCTGCTCTTGTGGAGCAAGGAGGACGCTTTCCACATTGATACGAGAACATATTCCAGCATGGTTTTACAAGGGAGAACGGAAGTGTGTGTGAAGCTCTATTCTAGAACACCTGATCGACTTCTGCCACTCTGTCAACCCTGACCATGATTTCAAGATAATATATAGAATCTATGCTAACTTCCCGCGTTTTCTTCGTTACAGACTTCTAAAGATAGAGGAGGCTTGGGCAATTCATGACTTTAAGCCAGACCTTTGTGTACAAAAGAATTATGTACAACCCCTACTTCTGCCTTGACCTCAGAGGGATAGATATTTATTTGTTTATTAAGTTATTCTATGTACCTTTCCCTTATTACTACGATTATTATTATTATTACAATTCTCATTCTGAATTTTTTCCTTTTGTCATTCTAAATTCAAAATTAATATTTTTTATTTTTACAGTATTGGGATTCTACGGTATCAAATTTCACACCATGTTAAGTAATATTTTATATTCGCCTGCTAATCCTATAATTATGCACCCCTTTCCAACAATATCTGTACACCTTATGTATTATTCTATATATGACATTAATTATTTTGCCACTTAACATTTAACTATGATTATAATCACAAACATTTTAATTTTAATTGCATTTCATACTATTATTATTTCATGTATTCACAACTTTGACCTAATTCCCTCACCGGATATAATTTTTATAAAAACCATATATATACGATTGTACAGCTTGATGATAAATTCTTTGTTAAAAAGAGTCTCTTCGCTGAATATTGTGATCTTAATGCTACAAAGGGAATTATTAAATTAATTAACTAAAAGATGTTAGTGACATGTTAGTAAGTTTTCAAGGTAAGGTGGAAATTAATGAATTACGGAATGCAAGATAAATTGATTCTTAGGCGTTAGCAACAAGTGATTACATAATCAAGAAATTTGTAAAATAGGCATGAAGACTAATAATGACTCATCACGTCGATACTGACTGGACATCAAGTCGACTCACATTGTCTACGAGTACGACTTTTAACATACATACAGCAGAGGCAACTGGAATTCATCTGAACAATTCCAATCTGTGTGTTCAAGAGAAATTTGTAGAGCCTGTTTCTTTGCTATGGCCAACTACATAATATGTATTAGGATTTTAAAAACGATTTAACCCCTTCCCTTCCAACTATCTTTTGACATTTTTATTTGATAATGTTTACAGTTCTGGCTAATTCAGTTAATTTGTTTATATGTCACGTCTGAGTCATCCTATTCTTCTTAGTCATCATAGCTATTTTACAAATATAGCTCAAAATCCTCGTCGTTCTCGATAATAGCACAGACCCATCCACTCCATGTGAATTATAATACCCAATAAAACTATATTGTGCGTCGATATTACTATTTCTTTTGCCTCATATCTGTTTACTGTCTGTCTCTATTTTGCATTTCTTTTTACTTTCTTCTCTTGCTTTGTGTGCCAACTTAAGTGAAGTGTGGCGACTCGAACTGGTGCACATCGGTGCAGAGTAGTTCTACGTTGAAACCAAATAGCAGTTAGTCAGTCAGTCAGTCAGTATATACAACCTACAGTACAGATAAACTTACCACAATTTTGATATTCATCAATAGTCAGTTGGTTGAGACAGTCAGAAACAATGATATCATATAGTATATCACGTCTTTCATGCAGAATTGATAAACTCCATTCTTTGGTACTATATAAATGGGAAAAAAATAGAGAAAACAAGTCAAGATAGTTTGCAATTAAAGATGGAAAAATTTACATTTAATAAATTAGGATTGAAATTAAAAAAATATAACCAAAACTGATTATTATTATTATTGTCTCCTTTAATTCCTAGAGGAACATAGGGCTTCAGCCGTGCGTCTCCATTGCGTTCGGTTCTCTCCTAGAGTCTTCACCTGGCCCCATGTCTGCCCACACGCTTTCATCTTCTCTTCACATGACCTCCTCCAAGTCACCCCACCTTCGCACTGACGACCAACTCGCCGCTTCCCTTTCGGGTTCCACTCGAGCAATGGCTTGTCTAGTGATGTCACTTGATGGTTTCCTCAGAATATGGCCAGCCAATCCATCTCCATTTCTTCCTGCCTATTTATTTCACAATCGGTTCCTGCTCGGTTGGTTCGCTCATTGCCAGAGATCTCTGTTGCTGATCTTTTCTGGCCAGCTGGCCATCTGATCTTGAGTGGTATTGAGCGAAGACAACTGTTGATGAAGGTCTGTAGTTTGTTTGAGATGCTCTTTATGACGCGCAGTGCAAGTCTCTGATCCGTATAGTAGCAGTGACTGACTTCATATTGGAGTTGAAAATCCGGATGTTATTTTTGATGCTGAGTGCTGTTGACCTCCACACAGACTTGAGAGTAGCGAAAGCTTGTCTTGCTTTTCCGATTCTTGCTTTGATATCCTCGTCAGTTCCGTCCGCCTGTAGTTGAAACGATGCTTCCCAGGTTGGTGGCTAGGTAAAAGACGTTGTTTTTTTCAGGTTCCTCCCATTTATGCTGATTGTTGTTGTTCTTGTCCAGGAATCTTCATCACCTCTGTTTTCTTTATGTTCACCTGAAGGACTATCTTCTCTGGATGCTTCTTCTGCCAACTTGTTGCCTTTCGCTTGCATATCTTCCAGTTTGTGGGAAATCAGACATATATCATCGACGAAGTCCAGATCCTCCAAGTATTTTGTGTGAGTCCGTTTTATGCCTGTTTCCTCATAGCCCGCTGATTGTCGCATTATCCAGTCTACTGCAATCAGGAAAATCACTGATGATAGTAGGCAGCCTTGTCTTACTCCTGTCCTCACTTCGAAGGATTCCGTAAGTTTCTTGTTGTGGATTACTTGGCATGCAGCATTGCCGTACAACTGTTGGGTGAGATGTATAATTGTCGGTGGCACCCCATAGTAGGGAAGTAGTTGCCAAAGCACCTCTCGATCGACGCTGTCGAAGGACCAAAACCGATTACAGTTTCAAAATTCACATAAAGACCTCTAAGCTAAATGAAATATATTTGATATTGTTGTTATCATTCCCTTAATAATATTACTCCTTATCTCCCGTGTTAAGTGGTGGGTGTCATAAGGTGAGCAATATTGAGGTTAGGCATCGGTCGAGTGCTAGGTAAGGGTGCGGGGGAATCAATCGACAAGGTTGTAAAGTTACACCAATTGAGTGAGATGGTTAGAACATATGTTACGTATGCATGTCTAGCCTTCCTCGGTGGGCAGTGTTAGCTGACTGACAGAGGATTGATAAGGTTGGTAAACAGCTAGCTAATGGTGGTTAAACCAAAACACGGCTTCATTAGTCAATGAAATGCATCCACAACAGTTAGTTTAAGCCAGATATGTAGGTATAAACTGCCAGCCTTGTTGGAGTCTTCGGCGTGTTAAGAACCGACAACCTGAGACAATTAATGATATGGCTCAAAATCGTTATCTCACTGGCGCACAGATGCATTCACTCTTAATGATCTCTTGTATCTATTGAAACCTACGGTCTTTTCCATGTTCCTATTCTTTCTTCCTCACATTTCTCTGCCTATTACTGCTCTTCTAAATCTCGTTCTTTTCTCTTCCTTTGTGTGCAACATTGAGTGCGATGACTTCAATGTAATACACTTCTGAGCAAAGTTCTTTCTTGAAACCAGTCAGTCAGTGACTTATTCAGAGGAACCCACAACCCAGTAACACTTCGTCAGAGCATATATCTTCCCTGAAGATGTTGCCAGAAAGACAATGAAAGCTTTGCAGCTACAGCCTATAAAACACAACTATATATATATATATATATATATATATATACACTACGAAACATATTTTCTCTGTATTAAAAGAAATGGGTTACATCTGCAAAATGAATGAAACAGACTACGTCAAAACCACAAATGAATTTCAAAATATCCAATATAGTCAGTTCTACAGGAGGCACTGGGGGACGCGGGTTCGAATCGCAGGTGTAACATGAATTCCTTCAGGGTGATTGCAGATACACCTTGCCGATTGGTGAGTATCAACTAACACGAAACCTAGGTCTATACAAGGCTTCCCGTGTCCGATTGCTTACAACCATCTAATAGAAATATATATTTCGCCTATAATTTACTCAAATGAATCACCATTTGCGTTCCCAAAAGATGTGAAAAGTATGAATTCATCACATACACAATGGGAAACGACGAGTTAGGCGAAAGTACAACAGTGACAAAGAATAGATGAAGCCTAATGGGTAATCGTGATACTAGTTAGAAACGACTGCAGAAAACAGAGTCAAACAAAGATGTGCTGATGAAGCCTCATATTCCATTCAGAACCGAAGAGAATAATACTAGTAAAGATACATAGCGACAGCGAACACACACACACACGTGCGTCGGTGGCACAGTGGTTAGGACGCTCATCGACCATGCACATGGACCGGTATTCGACCACCGACCACCAACGCACTCCTTTACCCCGGTAAGCCAGAGACAAAACTGGTGAAGAGGGAAGATTGGGCATGAGGCCAGCAATCCCATCCGTAAAAATAAACACCACTGCCACCGAAACTTCAGGCCTCTAGCTTGAAGGACCCCTATGTTCCACTGTGAACGTGAAGGAATGAAAAAAAACATACACACACGCACACAACATAATACAGAAATAATAACAAAAGCTTCGTCCGAAATAACTAACCAACAACAAGTATTAATCACTATTCAACGGAAGAAATTTGAAAGACATCACTTCCTTCAGTTGTTCCGCCATGCGATAGCACAAATGAAGACGTCAAAACCAGTCAGAATTGATAAAAGCAAGACACACCTTCATCACTCTGAAATCAGTTCGGAAATCTTCTGCCCTCTACTGAGCACAAACAACAAGATTCGGATATTCAACATTAATGTCAGCTTGAAAATGAGACAGTAACTCATCGAAGACGAAATTGAGAAATGGTCGCACTATGTCGTGATTCTTTGGCCGAATTCATGAACTACTCAGTCAAATGGGTCCCAGTGGCTTAACGGTCTACGAGTTCGCCTTGTAACCAGAAAATCCTGGGTTCAAATCTCGGTGGGTGCGTACCAATGAAGAGTCCCAAACTAGGACGAAACAGCTGTCAAGTACTACCAGGTTATCCAGTGGTTCTCTAACTGATGTCAGCTCATGATGAAATCCTCCACCAATCAAACAAAATACCTACAAAACCAATACTTGAAAATGTCAAGTCAGCCAGTCAATCACTTCTTCTATATGGGTCAAATACAAGACAGGTGAGTCATGAAAAGCATTTCTAATCAGCCACTGCAGACCTTTATCAACAGTTGTCAACTTGACTGGCTGCATAGTGAAGATCAGATGGCCGACTAGCTGGCCAGAAAAAAAGAATTAGTAGCCAGAAACTCTGCAGTGGAACGAACCAACAAGTGAGGACCTACTGCTCAACACATATACTGAAGAAAGTGGAAATGGATAGGAAACACACTGAGGAGATTGTCGGACGATACAACACGTCAGATCATCGTTTGACAAATTAGGCGTGTGTGTGTGTGGCAACGTGGAGACGGTCGTGTTAGAAGGGCAATCGTAGATCTAGTACGAGGAAGACAGCAGAAAAACGGGACATTAAAGAAGATGTGTTATTGTCTGTCTGTTTTCAACACAGAACTTTGCACATATGTGCACCAGTTCAAGTCACCACACTCCTTTCTTGTAGCACACAAAGTAAGAGAGGAAAATAGAAGAAATGCATAATATAGAGAGTATACAGAGGTGTGAGACAAAGGAATAGTAATAACGAAGAACAAAACAGTTTAATTGGAAATCATAAGTCACAAGGAGTGGATGCATCTGCGCCAGCCATTGAGAACGATTTTGAGCCATGTCACCAATTGTTTCCAACCATTGGTTTTACCGTCCCGAGGACCCAAACCAGGAAGCCAGTCTATACCTTCCTACGAGGCTTAGATTAACTGTTGTAGATTTCAGTGACTGGTGAATGCATGTTTTTGCTTGACCGCCGCTACCTCTTTTACAGCCTGACCCAATATCAGCTAACAGTGCCCGTCGAGGAAGGCGATAGCGAGGCACACATGCGTAACATATGTCCTAACCATCTCAGTCGATGTAATTTCACAGTCTCATCGATTGATTTCCCCTCCCAGTTACCTAGAACTCGACACCTAACCTCAGTATTGCTCACCTTATTATACCATTTCACACGGGAGATAGAATGCAGACACCTATGATCAAAGACAGTTAGCCTTTTCATGTCTTCCACTCTCAATGACCAGGTCTCACAGCCATAAAGGAGGACGGAGTGGACTGATGAGCAGTACACACGCCCTTTGGTCGATAGTCGGATATCACGTCTACGCCAGAGACGGCGTAAACTGGCATATGCGAAACTAGCCCTCTGTATTCGTGCTGAGATTTCGTCAGAGATCAACCCGTTGGCACTGGCTGATGGTACTTCCCAAATAAGTGAAGCGGTCAACGTGCTCTACCACTTCACTTCCTATTTCTAATCTAGGAGTCGGTGTAGTCCAATCCTGCAACATCATCTTACATTTTACAGGGGTGAATCGCATGCCAAACATACGAAGATTGTTGCTCAAGGTGTTCAGAAGACTCTGCATTTTGTCAGCGTCCTCGCCTAGAAGGACTATATCGTCTGCATATTCGAAATCAACGAGATTATTTCCTGGTAGTAAGTCAATCCCTGAGTCTATGAAGTGAGTTAGAGTTAAGTCCATTAGTACATCTATGATGAAGTTAAATAGAAATGGGGATAATGGGCATCCTTGACGGACGCCACTAGTCGTCACCACTTCAGATGACAACTGACCATAAGCCCTCACCTGGCTGCATGAGGACGAGTAGAGTGCCTTAATCAGTGCAATGTATTTTCTAAGATGTGTTATTGAAGCTCTCTCAAAACTCAAGGGAACAATACTAATATTGTAATAACAGTCGTTGTTAACAACACATTTCTACCATACAATACAACACAAAGAAATCAAACGCTTACACGGGATGTATCAGACCAGCAATTAATAAGGCAATAGAAGTAGCGTTATCCGGTGCATATCGATACCATTCTTTGTAACAATTTAAACAACACAACTCAGATGTTGTAGTAGTGTTGTTGGTGGTGGTGGTGTTGTTGTCGCTATTCACTTTTTCCAACCATTTCAATGCTAAATACATCCAATTTATAGACGATTGAAATATTGAATCGTCTTGGAATAAACGTTGACAAACAACCAACCAGATAGGTATATCTGAATTCAATGGATCAACTGGTCGTGTGTTTGTTGTTTGAAATAAATGACAGGGAATATTGTGTGTTAACCAATTCACTGTGCGATCGATTACTTGATCGATAGTTGGAGAAGAAGCAGAAGCAGAAGATGCGGAGGAGGAGATTTTGACTAATGAATCAAATTGTTTTAATGCATTTCTACTCGAACTAATCATACTACTACTACTATTATTATTATGAGTAGTAGTAGTAGTATTTAAGTTGACTGGGAAATGATTAGCAAATTCATGATTTGTATGAAGTAATCGATTATGCTGTATGACATGATCACCATGTATGAGATATGGTGTGACAAGGATTGTTCTTATTGTTTTTGGTAGAAATAACAGACTGTATTGGAGGGCGGATTGTTGAAGCGAGTAGATAGTATTAGGTGAATCAGCTTTACCTAAAAATTTAAAAACATAAAAAAACACAATTAAAACAATCAGTTTCAGGTAGATAAAGCCAGACACGATAAGATGTACAATATGAAATCCTAAATTCCTGTGTTAACGAGTGCATTGAAGATTGAATATCCTGCGTGAATTCGCAAAGATTTGATTGACTTCATGTCAGAGGATGAAGATGGATATTCAGAATCATTTCAAGTACTGGACCGACCGATAGTTGCTACCTTGACGTGGTGGTGGTCAGGCTTGCACATCGCGATGACCCCCAACAAGCTAAACACTGGCCGGAACTATTGTTCCTGCAGGTCCTACCATGCCAGGAAGGTTGTTAGGATAGCGACTAGGCTAAAAGCAGTTACCGGAATAGTATAAGATTTTTTTTACACTATGCTGGGGGTCTGTGGGCGAATTCATACTGCTGGGAAACAGGGATGTAACAGCCGCAGTAAGGTGTTTCCGTCAGATGAACAGCATGCCAGCCAGCTATGCTGTCTCTCCACTCTGGAGAGAGGGGATTAGAAAAGGTCGACCCCAACAATTGTACATTCCGACTTACCCCACCTATGGTGGTCCGTAACCGGCGGTAAGTTACTAATACGGAACCAAACTAAGAAACCAGTTCATACAAGCCGTGTGTGACCGGCCAGCATCAAGCAGTTGTCCCTTGGGCTCTGCAGTCACGCAACATTGACCCCCTTTCTGTTTCAGGTACCCGAAGAATCAATCAACTTCCAAGGCGTGGGCAACTGAAAAGTAACAACCACCGACACACTTCCAAAAGCACACGACGCCTGCCTGAGCATCATTCTCCTATGCCCACATCACCTTCATCATTTCACACAATGGTTTAAGACTGTTGAGGATATGGCTAGAAATCGTTTCAAAAGGCACAGATGCAATCAGTCTTTGTGATCGCCTTTCATAGGCACTTATTCTTCCTCTCATATATTTCAGTTTACTATAAGTTCATCGGATTTATTTTTCTGTCTACCATCATGTGTAAGTGATGCTTGTATATTGTTGCATATTGTTATTGATATTGTTATTGCTAAATCAAGTGATGTAAAGTAGCGAAAATTAAAATGACAATTAAGCTTTATTTCTGTGATATTCCTTCGAAGATATTTGATCTATCTCTGATGATGTTAACTAACGGATTTTCAACATAGAACTTTGCAAAGATATGTAACGGTTCATGCTGCCACACTCCATGTAGCACTCAAGGTAAACAAGAGGGAAAAAGGAAGTGACGAGAACTATAATGAGCAGAAACCTAAAGGAGAAAGAGTAATTACATGGGAAAACATGACGGTGTAAAAGATATGTGAGATAACATAAAGTGAAAACATCTGCGCCATTCAGAACGATTCCGAGCCATGTCACCAGAAATCTGAATACATTGGTTTTTAGCATCTGAGAGATCTCAGTCACACAATCTACACCTCCCTAAGTAGGTGAAACCAACAGTCGAAGACTTCATTGACTGATGTGAGGGTTTGGTTTGACTATCCATAACTTTTTTAGCCTAATTGTATGTTGTCTAACATTATCCATCGAGGAAGGTGGTGGTTCTGGATGTGCGACAAGTATCCTAGCGATTTCAATCTATTCACCTTCACAACCTAATCGATTGACTTACCTTTCTCACCTAACACTCTACTTTTAACCTTAATATTACTCACCATGTTATGCCACTTAACACGGGCGATAGAAGACAGACACCTATGGCCGTAGACAGCTAACCCTTCCATGTCTTCTACTTTCAGTGACCATATCTCACAACCATAAAGGAGGACAGAGCAAACTGCTGCGTGTTACATACGTCCTGTGATCCATAACCAGTCGGATACCACATGTACGTCAAAGATAACCTAAATGCCATACTAGTCTTTGTATCCATTCTGACATTTCGTCAGTCTTTCAGGGCTGATGCAATTATTAAATAAGCGAAATGGTCTTTAAACTAAAAGTTGATTGAGACTAGTCCTGCAGAATCATCTCACTTTGATAGGAACGAATGGTATGCAAAACATTTGATCATGTGTTCAGAAGACTCGGCATCTTGTTAGCGTCTTCACTTTGGAGGACACTCCCATCCACAGACTCAAGGTTGGCAAGACTGTCCTCTAGTATAAAGTCAGTCTTATGTTAAAGTCAGGGTCATTTCCATTAGTATATCTATGATTAAATAAAGTAGTTGTTTCCTGGTCTATCTCTTAATATTATCCCAACATATTAGTAGAAGTATAACAATTGGTAGAGTTTGTTAAATGTTAAATAACTGGGCTTGTCATTGGTGTGGTGTTTACACATATCTGCGAAAAATCTTTTTTTTCTAGATTCGCATTCAGTAAGAGAAAAAAGCCTAATCATCGCCTCCCTCGACGCGCATTACTAGCTGATATAGGTGCAGGATGGAAAAGAGTAAGTGGTGGCCAAACAAAAACATGGCCTCATCAATCCATGAAATCCTTGACAGTTAAACTGAGTCAGGTAGGGAGATGCAGACTTCCGGGTTGGGGCCCGCTCTCGGGACTCTAAGAATCAATGGCTAGAGACAATAGGTGACATGGCTCAAAATCGTTGTCAATGGCTTACGCAGATGTATTCAGTCTCTGTAATCTTTCATATTCCTTTCTACCATTACTCATTCTGTTTCACTCTTATACTTGTCAAAACTCTCTTGATTCTCTTCACCACTCATTTTCTTGTCTACCTTTCTGTGCTCTTTGGGAGGTGGCAACTTGAACTGTTGCACTTCGGTGCCAAGTTCTAAGTTGAATCCAGACAGACAGACATGTATACTATCTGAAGTATGGTAATTTGAACTGCTGAAGTTTTGTGTAAAATTCTATGCTGAAAATTTACTCCAGCTTATTATTCTTCAATAAAGAGATCCCACATCTACAATTAATGTTGACAAACAACAATTTTTGAAGTCTTCATTGATAAACAACATAAAACGCTTTTATACACACACACACACACATTCATTATACATATTTACTTACAGAATGATTCAACAATCGAATGTAGTCTACTCAACTTTCGTGAATGACTATCATTTCGTAGACGATGTAAGAAGACCTGTAGAAGAACAAGAAGAAGAAGAAGGAGAAATAACAATATAATTAGTTTTGTATTAGTAAGAATAAGAATAACAAGTTTTTCTGAAAATATGAAATTTTCGGACGAATATTGTTGGAGGTCAGTTACCCAGAGACAGGCTACTTGTGTAACATTATTCCAATGGTGTAATTTGGGCATTATGGTAGTAAACAATTCCATATTTTTATTAATATACTTCCTTTGGGTTCTGAGTGGAACACAGAGCTTCAACAAAACGTCTCCATTTTGTCCTATTCTCTGTGGTCCACTTCAGCTGGATCCATGATTGCACATAATCGCTCATCTCTCCCTCACACGATCTTCTCCATGTCACCCTTAGACACACACCCAATTTATCGCTTCCCACTGAGATTCCACCCGAACGATGATCTGGCGTGTAGTGTCATTCGACGATCTCCTCAGCACGTATTCCATTCACCTCCATTTTCTTCCGTATATGTGTTGAGCAATAAGTCCTCACCTGTTGGTTCGTTCCACTGCAGATTTTCTTGTGCTAATTCTTTCTTTCTGGCCAGTCAGCCAGCGAGCCAGCTAGTCGGCCATCTGATCTCCAGTATGCAGCCAGTGAAGTTGGTAACTGTTGGTAGAAGTCTGTAGTGGTTGATTAGAAATGCTTTTCATAACGTGCGTATCAAGTTTTTGACCCATGTAGAAGTGACTGGCTGTCTGACTTGACATGGGTGTTGAACACCCGAATTTCGTCGCTGTCTGTCTGTTTTCAGCATAGAACTTTGCACCAATGTGCACCAGTTCAAGTCGCCACACTCCATGTAGCACACAAAGTACGGGAAGAAAGTATGAGAAATGCAAAATAGAGACAGTATACAGGGGTATGAGACGAAAGGAATAGTAATAACGAGACACAATATAGTTTCATTGAGTTTTGTAAGTCACAAGGAGTGGATGCATCTGCACCAGCCATTGAAAACGACTTTGAGCCATATAAATGATTATTTGTCTCCAGCCGACATTGGTTCTTACCATCCCGAGGACCTCAACCAGGAAGTCTACACCTCCCTACCTGGCTGACTCAAATTGACTGTTGTGGATTTCATTGACTGAAGAAGCCATGTTTCGGTTTGACAACCACTATCAGTTCTTTTCCAGCCTGACCCTATATCAGCTAACATTGCCCATTGTCGAGGAAGGCGATAGCGAGGCACACATGGATAACACATGTCCGAACCATCTCAGTCGATGTAGCTTCACAATTTCGTCGATTGATTTCCCCTCCCTCCTTACCTAGCCCTCGACGCCTAACCTCAATATCGCCCACCTTATTATACCACTTCACACGGGGGATAGAACGCAGGCACTTATGATCAAAGACAGTTAGCCTTTTCATGTCTTCTACTCTTAACGACAAGTCTCGCAGCCATAAAGGAGGACAGAACGGGCTGCTGTGCAGTACACACGCCCCTTGATCGAAAGCCAGCCGGATATCACGTCTACATCTGAGGCGGCGTAAACTGGCACATGTGAAACGAGCCTTCTGTATCCGTACTGAGATTTCATCAGCGATCAGCCCGTTGGGGCTGATGCAACTTCCCAAATAAGTGAAGCGGTCAACGTGGTCTACCACTTCAGACGACAGAGGCACTCTTCTTCCCTCACCTCGCTAAGCCTGTAATAAGACTTATAAAGAAGGAGGGCTTGGCATGACGCTAGCAACCCTATTGCGTAAAAATAAGCACCAAGGTAACTGAAACTGCAAAGCTCAAACTTGAAGCCCTATCTTCAACTGGGAAGGTGAAGGAATAAAGAAACGTTAGTCATCCACGTAAAATCTTTCGAAGTAATTAAAACAATGAATAAAACGATTCTTTTCGAAAGCGCATTCTTTATTTGTAGTACACAATAAAGTATTACTAGCATAATACTTTTCTGATTAGCTTACTTCTACTGGCCATGATGGTTGAATATCGTTTTGAAGTTCGGGATACAGGGGTCGCAGACTTTCCATTAATCGAACAGTCATGCATACGGAGGAATCATATATATCATCAGATTTTAGAGCTATAAAGAGAGATTTATTAAAGATGAACATATACACGTGAAAAATATTAGTGATAGGAAATTTTTTAAAATCACGTTTCACTTTATTTTTTCATCTTTCAGTGATGCTTCTATCCTTAGTACAATTTTGTGCTATTAAATCTATGGTACTTATATTCATATTAAGTAGTATATGTACGTTACATTCATTTTATTGAATATTGAAGTCCGTTTCGATCATTTAGTAGTAATAATAATGTCTTTCAAGAGTTGGTTTGTAAGGATTAGATTTGTTTTTCGAGTTTGACCACGGATTGATATTTTTTTGATTGATTGAACCATTGAAAACTAGCACTGGAGTACTGGACAGCTGTTTCATCCTAGCTTGGGACTCATTGGCAGTACGCACCAACCACTTTGGGGTTCGCACCCAAGACCTTCCGGTTACAAGGCAATCTCATAGACCATTCAGCCACTGGGACCCAACCCAATGACTAGCCCAAGAATTCTAACTTCTACCGATTCGTGATTTTAGCACGACCACCAACCAACGTCGTCGGCGGGAAATCCATCCTCACACTTGACTAGATGCTTCGACAAGTCTGGGCATGTTATTAGAAGTTAATTGGGGGATGGTGACTAGCAGTGGAATCCAGGATGCGCATTTCCTTCTACTTAAGTGGCTCTCATGGTCCAAGTGGTCTAGTGGATAACGCTTTGGCGTTTGAAACTATGGGCACTGGTTTCACCACTCACTGCGGAATGCAGGTACATTCAGTTAACGAGTCCCGAAAAGGACATCCTGGACATGCACATCCTGGATTCCACTGCTAGTCACCATCCACCAATTAACTGTAATCATTAGATTAGACACTACTTGATCATGCAAATGTTAGTATGCAGGGATTTGATTGGTAACAAAACCAGCACCGTAGTACTGGACAGCTAGCTGTTTCGTCAGCCTACTTTAGGACTCTTCAGCAGCACCCATCCACCCACCATGGTTCGACCCCAGGAATTTCTGGTTACAAGGCCAGCGAGCTCCTAGACCATTGAGCAGCCATTGGGACCAAATCCTGACAGCCTACGAGCTTGCCTTGTAGTCGGAAGGTCCTGGGTTCGAAATCCCCGTGGTAGGTGCGTAGTGTGAAGAGTTCCAAACTAGGCTGACGAGACAGCTATTCAGTACTCCATGCAGGTTTTCCAATGGTTCTCTAACTGGCTGATATCAGCTCATGATGAAATCCTGTAACTATTTGATTAGTTTACAAGCCCTAGACACACCCTCCTAGACTCCACTAACAGTCACTACGTAAAGAAAAGCATCAAAAAAGTGTGAAACATTTTTGTGTTACACAAGAAAAACATACACATAAACTTAGATACACTACAAACTCATGCACGCACTCACTTACCAGAAACAAGTAAATCCCAGTTCTTTCGACACTGTTTAGTCAATAATGCCGAGATAGACATTCGATTAAGAAAATACTTTGTACAATCTGGAGCATCAGATATTACACGATGAAAGAAGCCTTCAAGACCATTGTAGTCTTTTCTAAAGATATATAGAAAAGGGATGTACAGAGATTTTTTAGAAAAAGATAGGCATCATTTCAATTCAATTTTAGGTAAACGTATACAAAGTGATCATAACCTGATTGACTAACTTATTAGTGTGTGTGAACTCGTTAACTTCGAGAATTACGTCCTTCTCTTCCCCCCCCCCCACACACACACTCAGAGTAGCGTAAGTTTCCCACGAAATAACATACATACTTTGCCGATAAGTTTAGCAGCCTGCTTACCGATTGGAGACAATGTAGGGGGGCGGGTTAGGAAAGGTCGACCCCGAAAACTGTACATCCCTACTTATCCTACGGTTGTCCTTAGCCGGCAGTAAGTTACTCTCGTACGGAAACAACTGTTTGAGAACTAATTCAAACAGGTCATGTGTCTGTGTGACCAGCCTCAAGCAATTATCTTCTGAATTCAGCAGCTGCTTCAAGTATCCCAAGGAACTACCAGTCAGTCAGTCAATCAGTTAGTCAGACTGAAACTCCAACAAGGCTTAGAACCCTATGTTCCACTTGGAACATAACAACTTCATGCAACATAGATGGCACTGAAATAGAAACCAAGTCGGGAATTAAATACCTAGGCGTCATTCTATCTGCTGACCTCTCCTGGTCGTCTCATATCTTGGCGATTTCTAAGAAAATATTCCGTCTTACCTTCCACATCAAGAAGTTAACACATTCTGGTGTAACCCAACACTTACTCCTACAATTCGTTAATTCTCGCATCCTGCCTATTATTCTCTATTGTTCCCAATTAGTTTCTCCAGGGCACTGAAGAAAGACTATAACATATTACGCAGGATGTTAAAGGTTGTCATCAGGGTAAGCAACGTGTCGCTTAACCAGCTTGTTAATATTCTGGTTGACAGCCACATGGACTCATGTGGAAAATGGGCCAAATCCATCTTATCTAACTCACACCACCCTCTTCACTCACAACTCTTCTCCTGCATCTCATCATGCAAAACCAGAAGCCTATATAGAAAACTATTTGCTCGCACCAGCAAGTACAAAAACTCAACCACACCCTATTTAGCTCGTGCTCTGTGTGATAAAGAAAGCATTAGCTGTGACACCTATAATTCACTAAATAGTCAGTAGTACAACTGGACCTCGTCTTTCCAACTCACATCAGTTATAGGTACAACGTTTTCTTTCTTTCTTTCCCTTTTCTCTCTCTCTTTTTCTCTTTTTTCCGTTATGTGCTGCTTTGTTTCTTTCTTCCGCTTACGCCAGTAAACATGACAGCATTTTCTTTTCTAACACCTTCAAACACTGTTTCAGCTATGGCTTTGCTACCGACATGCCAATATGTTGTTGTCATAATGAATTGAGATTTCCTTAATCTATGTAGAATTCTATTTATTGATAATGTACTAACTGGATGCAATACTGTAGTAAAAATGCTGAGAATTCCATTCTGTATCACAAGTACTGTTTTGGAATAAAGCAATTTATTATTATTATTATGCATCTGGTCCCCCTTGATTAATTTAAACAAAGCAACGAGGCATATATTACTTTAAGAACAATGAGTTCATCTTTTCAGTTCGATTTTAGATTTTCCCATCGATTGTTTAGATCGAAGTGCTCCTGCTAAGCTTGACATGTCGGCTCCTTGTACCGAAGCTTCGAAGATGTCTTGTAACGTAACTTGAAGTCGTCAATCGACGGGAAAATCTAAAATTCAATTAAATAATCAATAAGACCCGTTGCACAAGAAGCAGGTGGCTCTCATGGGCCCAAGTGGTCTGGTGAATAACACAACGCTTTGGCGTTTGAAACTATGCGCACTGGGTGCGAACCTCAGTGGGAAGAACATCAATGAGTCACTGGTACAGTGAATACAAGTACATCCAGCAGATAACGAGTCCCAAACGGGATGAAATGCACATCATGGATTCCACTGCTAATCAATGAGTTGATCTTTTATTTTACAGCTTTCCTACATCTGTTTATGCTTTTTTCTAATTCCATCAAGATAGAAAAGCCCTGAAAATTACTCAGGCGTACTAGACAGCTGTTTCACACCCCATGACCGCTACACTGAGGAATAAACCCAGCAGAGCTTTAGGTTACAAGGCGAGTATTCATTGACTATTTTTCAG